GTGTTTCAGGGGTCAGAGCCCAGCTATCTGGAGCGGATGGAGCAGCTGCAGGCGGTGATGTCCAGCACGCTGGAGAAGGTGGGAGGAGGAGCAACCCCAAGATGGGGAAGGGGCAGGGCCCAAAGATGGGAGAACGAGCCTGGAGGGGAGAGGCCCAGGGTGGGCGAGGGGCTGGGTTCAGGATGGCCAGGCTCACCTCAGGTGGGCTGCTAGCGGCAGGCTTGGCTCAGGCTATTGGTTGGAGAGGATCTACCTGCGCCCCCTCTCACCATCCTGGACTGTAGGGACAGTGGCCTTCAGGGCAGGGCAGAGGTCCGAGCCCAACTCCCCACAAAACCCCGGCCCAGTCTGAGCGCCCCGCCCCTCCCCCAGAACGTCCTGGGCGGCCAGGACCAGCTGCGGATCCGCGTGACTGAGCTGGAAGACGAGGTGCGGAACCTGCGCAAGATCAACCGCGACCTCTTTGACTTCTCCACACGCATCATCACGCACCCAACCAAGTGACACGTCTGGACTCGCCCTCAGCCGGCAGAGCCCACGGCCCAAGCCTGTTCTCTGCAAGGTCCCATCGCTTGGATTGGCACCCCCACCAGGGTTGCAGTCGAGGGTTGACTGGCTGCCCTGCCGTGACCTGCCATGTCACATGGGTGCTCTGCTGTTTCTAACAAAAGACTTGAAATCCTACCTTTCGGCCTCCTTGTGCCCCCACCGGGCTGAGGACCCTCGCAGTGGGACCTGCCAGGGGGATTCGCCACAGCTATCACAGAGTCCGAGTCCCAGACATAACTACTAGAAGCCTGGGTCCTCACCTGCCGCCCCTGTGCAGCTCCCAGGGGGCTGGGCCATGGGCCAGGTCCCCAGGGGCAAGGGTAACTCAGGGACAGCAGAGTGCTCACACCAGGCCTGTCTCCCCAGCCTGGCTCTGGGCAGCTGACGCTGGGGTGGCAGCCAGTTCTGGGCCAGGGTCGTCTCAACCAGAAAGTTCTTGGTGTCAAGGGCCCGAAAGAGGCCAACCTCCCCTCCTCCAGCACCACACATACGTACACACTGTGCAGGGTAGACGGGGACACTGCTAGCTGCCAGCCGGAACCTGGAACCCAGCCCAGACTTGGGCCCTGAGCCTCCCATGGAACCTTCCAGAAAGCTGCCCCTAAGTGACAGTCTGTTTAATGGTCCGGAAAATCCATGTGACTTAGCCGGTGCTATAGTAACTGCAGCTCCTGCTTTTAGCTGATGGGTGTCCTCTCCTGGGGCCCTGCAACCCCCTCACAGCCCACCTTGCTCTCAGACCTAGACAGGTTTACTTGGGGCCATCAGGTGAGGAGTCCTGCTGGCCTCCACATTGCAGTCACCCCACACAGAATAAGGTTCCAGCAGCAGGGAACCTGGTTGGTTCCTGGCAGCAGGGTGGGGGAAGAGGACCTAGGGGCTCAGTGTTCCCCTCCTCTCCCTTTGGTTTCCAGGGGCTCTGGAAGGTGGGGAGGGCATCAGGGTTGGCTGAGGCTTCCCCGGGGCCTAGGGCTACCTTGCCTGCCTGGCACCATTTCCAGGCGCTGCCATCCTCTGCCTGGTGCTTCTCTGCACCCTGGCCACTGCACTCAGCTCATCGTTCAGTGACTTGGGAGGAGATGCCAGTTCTGGAGACCTGGGTACTGTTTTCTGTGTCTGGTGAAGTCCCAGGCAGGAGCTGGCAGGGTCAGCCTCTGGAGTCACCTCCTCTGGCTCATGCTTCTTCCCTGAGCAGGAGGGGCGCTGTTGTCACTGCCAAGTTCCGGGGCACCTTGGCACAGCTGTGGACCTTCAGCTGCTGACTTGGGTCCTGGGGTCCCTCCTGGCTTGCCCAGGATATCTGTGGCTGCAGCTGAGGGGACCTTGGTCACTCATGGCTCCTGAGGGGCTGAGGGTAGTGCGCCCCTGGGTAGGGATGGTGGGGTCCCACCCCGGGGTGGTCACTGTGATGACTCAGGCCTGAGAGGTGGTCCCAGCAGGGCCTAGGGAGAGCTTCCAATCAATGCACAACCAGCCTCGCCCAAGCTGTCCTTGCCATGAGTCCATGGGGGCCTGGAAGGTCCCCTTTCCCCCTCCATAGGCCACACAGAGTCCAGAGAAGGTCCTGGTGGGCTCTAAGGGCTGGAGCCCACTGGCCCCTTTCCCTGAAATCCCCACGTGGCCACGGACAAGCCACACCTGGCCCTGAGACTGTGTATTGTCACTCAAAGGAAACGTACCTCCTTGATTCATGAGGAGTCTTCAAGAGCCAGTGTGCAGCTGTGCGGGTGCCCAGCACAGTCAGTACTCCTGTTGCTTGTCTGAGAATCTGTAGAAAACCAACCTGACCCTGAATCCTGGGCCGTCACTGCCAGAAGGGGAAGTGCAGAGTGCACCTGACATTCTCAGGTGACTGCCTGAGTTGATGGAAACCCCTCCTGACCAGGACAGCTGTTATTTAAAAAACAAGTGTCAGGATATGATGGAGGTGTCTTCTGAGCACTTGTGCATCGTTGGTGGGAAGGTGAAAGGGTACAGCTGCCCTGTCAAATAGTCAGGAGGGTCATCAAAAAGTTAAGTATGGAATCACCATGTGTCCCAGCAATCCCACTACAGGTACCTTGCCCACAGAAATGAAAGCAGGAGGCTCGAAGAGATGTTTACACACCCGTGTTCACATCAGTGTGATTCACAGCAGCCAAAGAGTGGAGACAACCAAATTGTCAAAGATGATGGATGAGCAAGGGTGGTCCTTCTGCACGGTGGAATATTACTCAGCCTTTAAAAAGAGATTCTGACACCCGCTACAACCTGGTTGGACCTCGAGGACATAATGCACAGTGAAATAAACCAGACCCAGAAGGAGACACACTGTCTGATTCCACTCACTGGAGGTCCCTAAAGGAGTCAGATCCACAGAAACAGGAAGTAGATGGTGGGGCCAGGGGCTGGCGGAGGGGTTGGGGAGTGTTTCATGGGGACAGAGTTTCTGTTTGGAAAGATGAGAAAGTTCTGGAGACAACGGTGGGGCTGGTTGCACAACAATGTGAATGTGCTTAATGGCATGAGCTGTAGACTCTAGAAATGGTTGGAATGGTGAGTTTTGCATTATATATATTTTACCACATTTAAGGAAAAAACCTCGCCTGTGTTTGTGTGTGATGTGAACTACTACCAATGCCCTGTAAAGCTGGGAGCTGAGGCGCAGAGGCCAGGCACCCACCTCAGGTCACCCAGATGGGGGCAGTCCCAGTTTCCATCAGGGCCCTTCACTGGCCCAGGAGATGGGGAGATAGTGGCCAAGTGGGCCTGGTGGGAGGGGAGATGTGGGGGCTTCCGGGGCTGCCCCCACATGAGTCCCAGGAGGGCCTGAAGAGCCTTCTGGCATGTGCCTGCCTCCTAGAACCAGCCCTAGCAATGTCTATTGACTGACTGTGCTGAGGGCTATGTTAGGGTGAGGAAGTGTCCCTCCCCAGGCTGGGTCCCTATTTTGGAGGACTCATGCTGGCAAAGGCATCTCTCCCCATGATGGAGTAATGTCCTGGTGGTCCCTGAGGACTGTTTTCAACTTAGCACCTTACCCAGAAGAATGGGGTGGGGGGGGGGACTCCCTGGTATGACCGTCCTTGTCCTGGGACTCCTGGCCAGGTGGCTGGATGAAGTGGCCTTGTCACTTGGAAGCCAGTCAGCCACCCAGCCCTCATTAGTCATCTCAAAATTCAATCTATGCTGCTGGCCGGCACTTAACATTTTTATTCATCTAATGGAGTTTGTTCCCTGCCTCTTGAACACTGGCTCCAAAAGGAGATTTTTTTTTGGGTGTGTAAAAAAATAATTGAGTGTAGACTCATCCATTAGAGATGGAATGATCTGGACTGATCTGCTGCCCTGTGCCCTGCGGGGTCTTGTCCTCCTGTGGAGGCTTTCTCTACTCACCCACCTGGGATGGGAGATGGGAGGAGTCCATGCACAGCGCCGCTGGGGCCCTTACTTGACCAGTGTTCATTGAGCATCTGCTGCATGCCAGGGGCCGTTTCTCATGGGGAGGCACAGAGAACATAGGAGGCTGAGGGATTGGTAGGGGAGCTATGGAAGGTTCTAGAGCAGTCATGAAATCAAGTGTCCTCATCCAAACAGTTGCTCAAGCAGAGTGCCTACTGTGTGCAAGCACTGGAGACAGAGCAGTTAACAAGTCAGGCTCACCCCTGTCTCCCAGAGTTGCCCACTAAATAAATAAAGCAGCAAAAAGATGACAAGTGTGTGATGGAGTTAATGTAGGCAGGGGTGAGAGGGGGTGTTCTACATCTTTCAGGGAAATTTTTCAGTCAGGGACATTTGGCTTTGGGTCTTGAAGGGTGAAGAGGAGCTGTCTGGGTCAAGTTTCCTGCCCACAGCTGGAGGGCATGAGATCTGCCCTATAGGTTCCCATCAGACAAGTCGTCTTCAGTTTCCCCAGCTGCCCAGGATGGTAGAACGCACCCAGAGGGGTCGGTCTGGGTAGACACTGCCTCCTGGCGGAGGGAGAAGTACTGCTGTGTGACTATGGAGGCACACTGACCCCTTCTCGGCCTTAGTTTCCCTGCCTTATCAATGGGAATTATTTCCAGGCTGGAGAAGGGGGATGAGGGATCCAGGGGTCAGTGTGGGGACCAATTTTGATGCAGAATCCCTCCCTGCTACTAACCTCATCTCGGCTTTCTCATCTGTAGAGTGGGCACAGAGCCAGGGATAGTGGTGGTTAGACTCCACCCCCACCCCCGCCTGTTAAGATCATCTGAGCCTCAGTTTCTCCCCCTGCGTCGTGGATCCGATTCCTCCCAAGTGGCTTACCTGGCACTGGGGGACCAGGAGGGGCGAGGGCGGGCGAAGGCGGGCAAAGGCTGGTGGACTCCGGCAGGGAGGGAGGAGTTGGCCCGGCAGGGGCGGAGAGGGTGCGGTGGGGGCGCGCGAGATCCTGCCTCCCAAGGTGCCAGCCGCGGCTCCGCCCCGTGGAGCCCGCCGGCAACTTTGGGATGGAGTTTGTGCCGGCGCTGTGGCTCGGCCTGGCGCTGGCGCTGGGACCGGGGCCCTCCGGGGGCCACCCGCACCCGTGCGGCGTCCAGGCGCGCCTGGGGGGCTCGGTTCGCCTGGGCGCTCTCCTGCCCCGCGAGCCTGCCGCCCGCGCCCGCGCCCGCGCCGCCCTAGCCCGGGCCTCCCTGGCGCCGCGGCTGCCCCACAACCTGACCCTGGAGCTAGTGGCTGCCGCTCCCCCCGCCCGCGATCCCGCCTCGCTCGCCCGCGGTCTGTGCCAGGCGTTGGCGGCACCGGGAGTGGCGGCCCTGATCGCCTTCCCCGAGGCGCGACCCGAGCTGCTGCAGCTGCACTTCCTGGCGTCCGCCACCGAGACCCCCGTGCTCAGCGTGCTGCGGCGGGAAACGCGCGCGCCCCTCGGCTCCCCGGTACGCGCGGGGACCCGGGGCCGGATGGGAGAGGCCCTGGGAAGCTCCCGGGGCGTGGGGTCCGGGGGTCTGGAGACAGTCCTTGGGACGCCCAGGACTCGGACTTCTGGACCGTAGATGCGCGGATTCTCGGAGTCCGGATGACAGAGGCCCTGGATCCCTGGACCACGGATGTCCCCGGGGCTCAGGGACACGGAATGGGAGACGGGAGCCCCGGGACGCAGGGACCTAGAGCCACGGACCTGCGGCTAGGGACCCCGCGGGACGCCTCTGGACTCCAGACGGAGCCAGAGGGCCTCGGAGGTGTAGACCCCCCGGGAGCGGGACCCCCTTGTAGGGTCCGGGGGCGCCTTCGGATCCCCACCCGGCGGGATCGCGAGGCTGGGATGGGGAAGCGGGTCTCCCTGCCCCCTCTCCAGGGGCAACAGTTTCAGAGGCTGAAGCTGGAGGCCTTCCTCCCGTCAGCATCCTCCCGGAGGCCCTCGAGGCTAGGCCGCCCCCACCCACAGCCTCCTTGACCCACAGCCTCCTCAGACCCCCAGACTCCAAAACCCTCGTCTTCCTCCGCCACTCCTCGACCTTGGAGTTCATTCTCTCGTCTTATTTCCACCCCTAGACTGGAATTTGGGTCCGAATAAGTAGAGAATGGGACAAAGAGGAGAGAGGGTGACTGGCAGAGCTCTGGGAACCCCGCGGTGCCCCAGGGAGAGACCCCTCCTCTCAGGACTAGCTGGGAGGGACCCAACGCCGGGATGTGGGGTCTGGTAGGGGACGTCCCAACCCACCTTGAAGCCCCCTCCAGGTCTTCCTTCTGAGGGCGGGGAGACCCTGATCCTACAGGAGGCCTGGGGTCTCTTTAACCCACCCCCACTCCGTTCCTGCCCCCTCCCGGTGGGAGAGATGCAGGACCCAAATCCATGCCTGTGGGGCCCTCTGCAGCCGGATCCAGGAACTGCACCCCTGCAGTTGGCCCTGTCAGGCTTTGGGCGGATAATGGCTTGCCCCCTCTTCCCCTTCCCCCCTCCTCGCCCACGCCAGGGACTAAGCAATAGACTCCAGCCTCTCTCCGGGCACTCAGCACCCTGTCCCCACCCACACAACATCCTGCCTACCCTAGGTGTCTGGTAAAGTTCTCATCCCACACTGAAAGCAAATCCAGGAGAACTTTCAGGGTGCTCCAGGCAAAGTGGGGCCCTTCAGTGCCTGGTTGGCCTGGGTAAGTCTGAATAGAGAGGGGGTATGGAGCTGGGCTTTGAAGGATGTGTAGGAGTTGGCTGACCTAGATGGGGAAAGGTCTTCCAGCTGGGGAATCCAAAAAGCCTCAGAGTGACTGGAGTCAAAAGAGCAGGCCCTGCAGGTCAAGGCAGGGCCAGGCTTTGTGCTGATGGCGATGGGGAGCCACAGAGGGGTATAGAGCAGGGGCTGGGCTGGGAGGAGGTAGACTCAAGGTCCTTTGAGTAGCTAGGGGCAGCCGAGGGATGCAGCCTGTAGCACCTGTCGGGAGTAGGTGCTGTGTGCATGCCTGGCATTCCTGGGGGCACTAGCAGAGGGGGAGGGGAGGGGGGAAGGCCCCGGTCCCCACAGTCATACTCCTGGGCTGCAATGCGGCCCACTCCTGACATCAGCTCAAGGTGATGTGTGTTTACTGGACATGTACAGATGGGGGTGGGAAGAGTGTGGTGGGACTGTGAGGTCGCCAGCCCTAACTTGACCAACCCCTCTGCCAGAACCCGTTCCACCTGCAGCTGGACTGGGCCAGCCCCCTTGAGACACTGCTGGATGTGCTGGTATCCGTGCTGCGGGCTCACACCTGGGAGGACGTCGGCCTGGTGCTCTGCCATGTACGCGACCCTGGCAGCCTGGTGGTCCTGTGGACAAGCCGGGCAGGCCGGGCCCCGAAGTTTGTGCTGGACCTGAGCCGGCCAGAGCTGGGTGATGCAGGGCTGAGCGCACGCCTGGCACTCCTGGGGGCACCAGCTGGAGGGAAGGCCCCAGTCCCTGCAGCCGTACTCCTGGGCTGTGATGCAGCCCGCTCCCAACAGGTACTGCAGGCTGCACCCCCTGGTCCCCGCTGGCTGCTGGGCACACCACTTCCTCCTGAGGCCCTGCCCACTGAGGGTCTGCCACCCGGAGTGCTGGCGCTGGGCGAGGTGGCCCGGCCCCCACTGGAGGCCGCCATCCAGGATGTGGTGGAACTAGTGGCCCGTGCGCTGGATAGTGCTGCCCGCATGCAGCCAGAGCGTGCCCTGCTTCCTGCCACAGTCAACTGCAGTGACCTACCACCACCAGAGCCCGAGTCTTCGGGCCGCCTCTTGGCACGGTGAGCGGGGCCCCAGCTGCAGGAAGCCACCTCTGCTGGTGGGCTGTGACAGACGACAAGATCGAGTGTTTGCTGTGTGCCAGATGCTGTGTCCATCTTGCATGAAGGCAGAACCTAAGAAGGGGATTCTGTAGGGCTGGGGTGGGGGCTTTGGGAGAAGAGGGAAGGGAGGAGAAGGAATGAGTGAGACTGCTGAAGTGAGTCACCTTCTGATCGCCAGGGCCCTCGAGGGGGACAGTGCCCCAGAACGAGAAGGCCCCACCTGGGCCTCTGAACTGGGCAGCAGCCCTTGGTTCAGGGCTGGGACGTCGCCCCAGTCCCCAGGGCGCGGGTACCCTGCTCGGAAGGGGTCATGGGATGGGGGGCTCGACAGAGCCTCCGGTGGCCCCAGGTGTGTCTGAGCTGCAGGGCCAGGGGTCTCACCTGGGAGGAGGGATCCCTCCGCCCTGACGCCGCCCCCACCCCCACCAGGTTCCTGGCCAACACATCCTTCTGGGGCCGCACGGGGCCGGTGTGGGTAACCGGCTCCTCGCAGGTGCACATCTCCCGGCGCTTCCGCCTGTGGAGCCTCCGCCGGGACCCCAGGGGTGCCCCGGCCTGGGCCACGTTGGGTCGCTGGCGGGACGGGCGGCTGGAGTCGGAGGCATGGGGCGCGGCCGAGCAGCCCCCACCCCCGCCAGGCGCCCAGGCGCGGCCCAGGCTGCGGGTGGTGACGCTGGTGGAGCATCCGTTTGTGTTCGCCCGCCAGCCAGATGAAGACGGGCGGTGCCCGGCGGGGCAACTGTGCTTGGCCCCCGGCACCAATGATTCGGCCACTCTGGACGCACTCTTCGCCGCGCTGGCCGACGGCTCGGCCCCCCGCGCGCTGCGCAGGTGCTGCTATGGCTACTGCATTGACCTGCTGGAGCGCCTGGCGGAGGACGCACCCTTCGACTTCGAGCTCTACATCGTGGGCGACGGCAAGTACGGCGCGCTGCGCAACGGCCGCTGGACCGGCCTGGTGGGCGACCTGCTGGCCGGCCGGGCGCACATGGCCGTCACCAGCTTCAGCATCAATTCGGCCCGCTCGCAGGTGGTGGACTTCACCAGCCCTTTCTTCTCCACCAGCCTGGGCATCATGGTGCGCGCGCGCGACACGGCGTCGCCCATTGGCGCCTTCATGTGGCCGTTGCACTGGTCCATGTGGCTGGGCGTCTTCGCCGCGCTGCACCTGACCGCGCTCTTCCTCACCCTCTACGAGTGGCGCAGCCCCTTCGGCCTAACGCCCCGCGGCCGCAACCGGGACACCGTGTTCTCCTACTCCTCTGCCCTCAACCTCTGCTATGCCATCCTCTTTGGACGCACTGTGTCCAGCAAGACGCCCAAGTGCCCAACAGGCCGCCTCCTCATGAACCTGTGGGCCATCTTCTGCCTGCTTGTGCTGTCCAGCTACACGGCCAACCTGGCTGCCGTCATGGTCGGGGACAAGACTTTTGAGGAGCTGTCTGGAATCCACGACCCCAAGGTGGGCAACTGCAGGTGGTTTGTGGTCAGAGCTGAGAAGTCTAATCCCCCCACCCCATCTTCACCCCAGAGAGGGCAGCTGTTCTTTCTCTCAAACTCATACTGAGCCCAGCCCCAAGCCAGGACAATACAGGCAAGGGTGCTGGTGAGAGCTGAGAGAGAAGCCAAAAGGATGGTGTGTGAGATGGTGGTAAAGTTCCAGGCAGGGACTTCCATGGTAGTCCAGTGGCTAAGACTCTGTGCTCCCAATGCAGGGGGCCTGGGTTCCTTGGTTGTTGGGGAACTAGATCTCACATGCCACGACTAAGATCCAGCACAGCCCCCCAAAAAAGTCCCATGGAGGAAAATTAGGCAGAGTTGGGGACACAGGGCACAATGGAGAGGAAGAATTCTCCAGTGGGGGTCTCCAGTGGGGAGGCGTGACCCATGAGGTGCTTGGTGTCAGGGAGCAATGTGGTCAGCAGTGGCAACCTGTGCAAAGGCCCTGGGGCAAGACTATGCTTGATGTATTGGAGGAGCAGCAAGGAAGCCTTGTGTCTGGAGCAGAGGGGTTGAGGAGGGAAGAGGGAGGAGGGGAGGACAGGAAGAGGACAGGGCAGGGCCTGCAGGGCCTGCAGGGCCTGCAGGTGTGGGAGGATATGACCCTTGAAAACAGCTCTGCTTAGAATTTTCACCAGGAGTCCTAGAGGACTGTGGGCAGAGCAGGGCATGCCCTGGCCTACATATTTTTCTTTTTTAATGAAAAAATTTTAATATTCTGGAACAAGAACAACTATGAATGAAACCATTGCCCAGCTCTAAAATAACTCCTGGCCAGTTTCATTCACCCACCAACCCCAGTCCCTGAATTATCCTAAAGTAAGATCCAGGCCTCCTGTCATTTCATTATGAATATTCGGGAAGTTAAACATCAGGGACTCATTTTCTCAGTTGTCTTCCACTCACTCCGCCATGGTTTGTTTGAATCTGGATCCAAAATGCATAGACATTGAGGATGGCAGAAACCTCTTAGTTATCGAATCAAACTTAGATCCACTCACTGGTGTGCAGTGAAACCATTCTATTGACATGGGGTCATGGCGAAGGAAACCGCAGGGTTTATCGCAGGTGCCAAGCAAGAAGCCCAGGCAGCTAGTGCTTAAGACCTGAACTCTTAGGTGGCCCTCAGGGAAAAGTGGTTTTCATTTGTTTGTTTTTTAATATTGGGGAAAAGACTTTAAAGACAGGGTGAGGGAGGGGTGTTTCAGGGTGTGTGTGATCAGGTGGTGGACATTCTTCTGACTGGTTGGTGGTGAGGTAGTCAGGAGTCAACATCATTAACCCTCTGGTTTTAATCAGCCTAGGGCCTCCGTGCTTATGGGCAGCATAGTTAACTTCTACCACCTGGGGGCAGGGGGAAACAACTGAAAGGACCTGGCTCAGGATTTTTTTTTTTTTTTTTGGTCACACTGCATGTCATATGGGCTGTCAGTTCCCTGACCAGGGACTGAATCTATGTTCCCTGCAGTAGAAGTGCAGAATCTTACCACTGGACCACCAAGGAAGTCTGCTGGCTCTGAATATTAGCTATAGCACCTGAGAAGGAATTAAAAGTCCTTGGTTTTAGTGACTAAACTATTTTTGTCTTGACTCTTTTCCTTTGTTTCTGCATTTTGTCATTTCTTTGATTTATTCTTTTGAACTCAGGGAAGACCTAGGAGGCTATTTTCTATAGACAAAAGGCAGGTAGAGGGCAAGGGGGTGGTCTGTCCTGAGAAGGCCCCAGAGGGTCATTTTGACACTCCTGTCTTTTTCACTAGTGATTTGTTTGTTGCAGTTGTCTTGTTTTGCCCCATAGTATCTCCCAGTGTTTTGATCTGGCTGATCTTGTCTCTGAGTGGTGTTTAGTCTCTTCTGTCCACCCCCAATTCAGGGCTTCCCAGTTATCGATAATGGTAAAGAACCCACCTGCCAATCCAGAAGACATATTAGGAGACATGGGTTTTATCCTGGGTCAGGAAGATTCTCTGGAGGAGACAGTGGCAATCCACTCCAGTATTCTTTCCTGGAGAATCCCATGAACAGAGGAGTGTGGCAGGCTATACAGACCATAGGGTCGCAAAGAGTTGGACACGACTAAAGCGACTTAGCACGCATGCTGCCCACCCAATCCACCACCACCCCAGTGTCCTCTGTAAACCATTAAGGAGATGTACATGGGCCAGCCACTCTCCACATGTGGCTACTTTTTAAATTGATTTAATTGAAAGCATGCAATAGCCATATGAGAACAGCACAGTTGTAGAGTGTTTGCTTCCACAGAAAATTCTGGACAGCCCTGTTTACCTCAGGTTCAGCTTTTCGGAGGTGCATAGCCTCACCAAGGAGGCCCCGGTCAGTGTGGCCCCAGTTTAGTTCAATTCAGTCGCTCACTCCTGTCAGACTCTTTGTGACCCCATGGATTGCAGCATACCAGGCTTCCCTGTCCATCACCAACTCCTGGAGCTTGCTCAAACTCATGTTCATCCAATCAGTGATGCCATCCAACCATCTCAACCTCTGTCATCCCCTTCTCCTCCTGCCTTCAATTTTTCCCAGCACTAGGGTCTCTTCCAAGGAGTCAGTTTTTGCATCAGGTGGCCAGAGTATTGGAGTTTCAGCTTCAGCCTAAGTCCTTCCAATGAATATTCAGGACTGATTTCCTTTAGGATTGACTGGTTTGATCTCCTTGCTGTCCAAGGGACTCTCAAGAGTCTTCTCCAACACCACAGTTCAAAAGCATCAATTCTTCGGCGAAAGCGGGGCACGAGGGGGGAGCGGGGGCAGGGGTCAAGGCCCTCCTGTGCTGACTGGGCGCTGGCCCGCAGCTGCACCACCCGTCTCAGGGCTTCCGTTTCGGCACGGTGTGGGAGAGCAGCGCCGAGGCCTACATCAAGAAAAGCTTCCCGGAGATGTATTCACACGTGCGGCGCCATAGCGCACCTACCACTCCCCACGGCGTCGCCATGCTCACGTGAGGGGGGCGTGCGGGGTGGGGCTCAGGGCGGGGCCACGCGGGCGGGCGGGGATAGTGATGCTCATCCTGCCCCCATGCCCTCCGCAGGAGCGATCCCCCCAAGCTCAACGCCTTCATCATGGACAAGTCGCTCCTGGACTATGAGGTGTCCATCGACGCCGACTGCAGGCTGCTAACCGTGGGCAAGCCCTTCGCCATTGAGGGTGAGGAGTCCCCAGGACCAGTGATCTGCGGGCTCCAGGAGGGTTCTGGTCCTCTGGGTCTGCGTCTAGCCTGGTCCCAACCCAATGCCCGGCCTCCCCCAGGCTATGGTATCGGACTCCCCAGAAATTCTCCGCTCACCTCCAACCTGTCCGAGTTCATCAGCCGCTACAAGTCCTCCGGCTTCATCGACTTACTGCACGACAAGTGGTACAAGATGGTGCCTTGTGGGAAGCGGGTCTTCGCCGTGACGGAGGTGCGGCAGGTCCCTGCATGCGGGGTGCGGGTCGGCGTGGGGGAGCCCCCGAACCTGCGTGGTCCTTTACCAGGGTAGTCAACCTCTGCTCATTTCCAAAACGAGGGTATTTGTCTGCTTTTGTGCATCCTATTCATCCTACAAAACCCCAGCTCTAGTGCTCTCTTGTCCATGACACCTCTGAAAATATAGCCCCAGGCCCTTCTCTCTGGCCCAACCTCTGTCCCCGCTTCTGTCCAAGGCCCGGGCTCCACCGGGGTCTGGTATGACCCAGAGGGACTATGTGCCTGCATCCTACCCACAGACCCTGCAGATGGGCGTCTACCACTTCTCCGGACTCTTTGTGCTGCTCTGCCTGGGTCTGGGTAGTGCTCTGCTCAGTTCTCTGGGTGAGCATGTCTTCTACCGCCTGGCGCTGCCGCGCATCCGAAGGGGCAACAAGCTGCAATACTGGCTGCACACGAGCCAGGTGAGGAGCTGGCCAACCCAGCTGGCAGTGGGGCAGGAGGGGGGCTGGGGGGGGGGCTGTCTTCCCGCTGAGCCGAATTCTTGGCTCCTAGAGAATTCATCGTGCCCTCAACACAGAGCCACCAGAGGGGCAGGAGGAGGCGGAGTCGAGGTAAGGGACTTAGGGGATGGTTCTCCACCCCAGCAACTCCCACACCTGCCCTCCGACCTTGGACTGGGTCCACACCTCCTTCCACTGGCAACTTCCTCAGGAACTTTGATCCTAAAGGGCAGATGGGGACTGTGGGTAGGACGTGGCTGCCCAGCCCATCCATCCCCCAGGGGTCTCAAGGAGCCGCAGCAGAACACACAGGCCGCCCCTGCGAGCCGGGCGGGCTGGACACGGGTGCGCCGGGCCGCGGTGAGGGAGCGTCGAGTGCGTTTCCTGCTGGAGCATACTGTGGTCTCTGCCTCCCCGGATGCGTATGTCCCAGATGCGGATGCAGCCGCACCACCCGAAGCCCCCGTCTGCTCCAATGGCCCGCCCGCCAAGCTTCAGTCTGGCGCCCCGCTCCCCGGGGAGCTGGAGGAGCTGGAGCAGCGCATCGTGGGTGCGCAGGAGAGGCTCCGCCAGGCGCTGCTGCGGCGCAGGGCGCTCCTGGCCCAGCTTGGGGACAGCACCTGAGAGCCGCCGTGCACATGGCTCCTGGCCTGCGTGAAAGCACGGGAGATGGCCCCCTGAAGTGGGATCCAGCCTTTCTCCACCTGCTGTGCCTGCTCTGAGGGGGCCACCTGGCCATAGGGTGGGTGGAACCTCCCTTCCCCCGCGGCTCCCGGGGCCCCCCAACCCCGCCCCAACACACAGACGCTGGCTGGACGCTGTCAACAGTTTATTCTATATACAAACACCATTCTGTACACTGCAATTAAATAAGAGTGGAATGAGCGCTCTTCTGCATTCCTCACAAAGTGATTGGGTTGGGTCACCGGCCATCTCCCCACCCAGAGCAGGGCGGAACCCCGGTGCCCCTGGCTGCCTTAGATGTTGGCGCCTATGCACCATCGGGGCCGAGCTCCACCTTCCCGGGGCCCCAGCCCGGGCGCGTAGGGTGGCCGTGGAAAGGCACTGGGCATGACAGAGCACCAGCTAAGCCAGCCCCACCCGATGCTTTGCTCCGGGGCAGCTTGCTCCAGACTTTTCACCACCTTTTCAGAACCTCCATGGAGCCCCCACCCCTTCTCCTACCCTGGTTCACAGGCTGGTCTTCATTTACTAGCTGAGGAGACCCACCAGGGACAGGGACAGGCTGTAGGCTGGCCCCATGCCCTGGGGGAGAGACGCCTGCCTCCCAGCAAACCTGATGGACCCCAAACCACCCAAGGCAGGCTGAGCATTCCCAGAGCCACTGGGGACAGTCTCCCTGATCCCCGAGGGCTCCAGCCAGGTCACACCCAGCTGGCTTGGATGGCCAGGGACAGAGGCAGTCAGCTGCCCAGAGTTCAGGAGCCGACCTCTGAGGGCGTGCCCACTAGATCAGTGGATGCAGGGCTGGGCCTGCCCCCCCCGGTGGTCTGAGGGACTGCATCAGACCCTGGAGAGTTGCTTGTAGGGGCATTGTCCTGCAGGGCCTGTGGGAGCCCCCCACTGGGGCTCAGGGGGCTGGCTGGCCGCCGGTCCAGGAGAGAGGCGCTCAGGCCAGACAGGAAGGAGGCGTCTGTGATGATGGCAGCCGTCTCTGCCATCCAACCCAGGTCACCACTGGCTGCTGCAGCCACTGAGGCCGCTGCGGCCACCAGGGAGCTAGGTGCCTCAGCCACGGGCCCGGGGGCCCCGCCAGCACCTGGCAAGCCAGGGCCCAGGGCAGGGGACTGGTTGGCAGCGTCGGGGGTGATAGGTGGGATGCCTCCATTGTTGTTCAGGTCGTCCGGCAGGGCCGTGGGGGTGCCGGGGCCCAGTGGTGGTGTTTGCAGCAGCATCTCCTGGACACGGATCTGCTGCAGGATGGCAGGTAGTTCGTAGTGGTGGAAGAAGTAGATCATGGAATGCTGGGGGGACAGGCACTGGGTCAGGCGAGGGACCCCCAAAAGGCTGGACCCTTGGACTGCCAGTCCCAAGGAAAGCCCACCTCACCTGGATGAAGAGCCAGGAGGTGACGAGTGCCAGGCTGCTGTACTGCCCGTTGAAGCGATAGTGGTAAGCGTAGAAGGCAAAGTGGTACAGGTAGAAGAACCTGCAAGGGAAACAGTGAGGTGCTGCCCACCTGGCTGCCTCCACCCCGGACCACATGGCCCCTGGTGCCCACCGAAGCCAGTGCCGCTTGCTGGTGTTGGTGTGGCAGCAGATGGCGTCATACTGGTCAGCCAGCCACACAATGAGGATGATGTAGAAGGCTGTAGTGGTGTCGTTGAAGAACTCGGACATGATCGCCTCCATTCCTGGGGGGGAGACGGGAGCCACCGGTTGAGGCGGGTGGCCAGCACGCCAGGAAAGGGGGCAGGGTGTGGGGGCGCAGGGTCCTCACCCACAAGGGCCAGGATGACGGTCAGCAGGGGCGCTGCGGGGAAGGCGATGGCCATGTTCATCTCCAGCATCTGCAGCAGGTCCACTGCGGGAGAGGGCGGCGGGCGGGCAGACCGGGTGAGGCGCCCGGAAGGGGGGAGGGGCAGGGGAGATGGCCAGAGGGGACACTCACCAATGAAGACAAAGATCTGGTGGTGGGAGTAGCGCAGCAACATGGACACACTCAGGGTCTGCAAGTGGGCCACCGTGAGGCTTTGGATGGTTGCCCCACCCCTCCGGCCCCACCTTGCCCCGCCCCGCCCCACCCCACCCCACCCCACCCAACCCTGCTGAGGCACTCACAAAGATGACCATGATGACGAAGGCGGCCAGGTAGGACGTGCGGGCCATCCACATGCTCACGAAGCGGTAGTGCTCGCCGGACACCACATTCCTCAGGAAGCCTGCATGAGGGGTGGAGTGGAGGAGGCAGTGAGCAAGCGCCCCAGCCCAAGACCCACCTAAGCAGGCCCCACCTTCGCCCCCGCACCTTTGTTCTCCTCATTCTCCGCCAGGCCCTTCACACTGGACATGAGGATGTCATCATAGCCCAGGAACTCAGCCAGCAGCAGGCGGCTGAAGCGGTCACCAAAGCACTGGTCCCGTGTGGGATCTGTGGGTAGGACCGGGACAGGGATGTTAGTCCAGGGGCACAGAACTCCACTGCCCAGCAGAGCTGTGACTGACAGGTGTGGAGGAATGGAGCCTTGGGAAGCTTCCTGCAACAGGACAGCAGGGCCAGCCCTGAGACCTTGGACACAAGTGCTTCCGGGTCACCCCTCCCCAAGGAAGACATCCAAGACTGAGGAGAAAGGAGCTCCCTCTCCTGGGCATTGCTCTGTTCGGCAGGGGCACTCACCCAGGGTGACCACCATGACAGGGATGCTGAGCCGCTGGCGCGTGGCCTGCGACAACCTCAGGAAGCCATACTCCAGCGAGTACTCCACGATGTACTCGTCCTGTGGCCAGGCTGCAGGCGGGGATGGCTGGTCAGCAGAGGAGCCCTCTCCTGGGAGGGCTAGGGGGACTGCACCACACCCCCACCTCCGTCACTGGACGTAGCCCCAGGGAGTGGTGGTACCTTTTGGGGGCGTCTCAGGGAATGGGAACTCCTGGCTGTCATTTAAGGCCTCGGGGCCACCTGGTGGCTTGAACACCTTGGGCTCGATGTCCAGCTCAAACTGCACAGTGGGAGGCAGAGATCAGCAAGCCCTTGGTACCAAAGGGTTGGCCTGAAGGTCTCTGCACCACCCCCCCAATGGAAGGAGATGTACCCCTGACCCATAAAAGCCCTAATCCAAACATTGAGCTCCCTGAGATTTCCGGGTGAGGATATGAAGAACAGGATCAGCGAGGTGGGGCCTCCTATTGGGTCTGTACCAACAAACACTCTGCCCACACCCACCCCTGGCCTCTGGCCACCTGAGCACAGCCCTCCCTCTGGGTTCCCCATCTTGTGGGCAGCCACAACACCAAGGATGGCTAGGACCACCTCAGAGCTCTGAGCCCAAAGCCTGCTTCTCAGCCTGTCTGCCCTCAGCACCCCAGAACCAGGCCTTCAGTAGACAGCTGGGAAACAGCCCAACAGGTCAGGAGTGTTCCCTGCAGCCCTGACCATGCCCCGGCTGCTCACCTTGATGGAGCTGTTCCCGAACATGTCCATGGTCAGCTCCTCCTCCTCCTCCTCCTCCAGCTCCAGGCCATCTGGCTCCACAGCCAGGCCGGGGAAGCTGCCATGGCCACCATCGCAGAACTGCAGGAAGACGGGCGCGCGGCTTGAGTTGTGTTGCACCTCTACCCGCAGGATGCCCTCACGCGGCCACTTGTCACGCACGTGCTCCAGGCAGTTGATGGGTGAGCGGGAGAAGACGATGTGGATGTAGGCCAGGACAAACAGCACGAACAGGGCCTGCAAGGCAGGGAGCGGTCAGAGGGGAGCTGCCTGGGACCCCCACCCCCAGATGGAGGACCCCTCCCAGTACAGGCCCCCACAGCTGAAGAGCCTCCCATAGGCCAGCCTGCACCGGGGCCAGAGATGTGCCACAGGCTCAGTGTCTCTGGGAACCCCAAGCACCTCTCCGCAACATGTATGGGGACCTGTGAGCTGACAATGGGAGTCAGGAAAGTGTGGGGCCTATGGTGGCAGCCAGCTGTGGTCAGAGCTGACCCACAGCCCCAGCTGTGCTCTCTGGGCCCCAATGTCCAGCAGGAGCCATGTCCAGGACACCGTTCACTCAGCCATGAGGACAACACCACACCACATGCCGAGACATCACAGAAAGTGCTGACATGCAGGTGGCCTGATGCCAGGGGCTGCCCGAGCTCGTCCCTGCAAGGCACGTGCCTGCCATCATCCCCAGTTTGCAGATAGGAAAACAAGGCAGAGGCCACACAGCCAGGACGAGGTGGAGCTAAGAGTTAAACCTGGAGGAAACACCATGCAGGGCAGCTAGGTTCTGAGAGGGGCATATGGATAGATAGGGGACCCGTGACCTCAAAGAGTGGCTAAGTCCCCACTGTCACCCTAGAGTCCTCTCCAGTGCCCCGCACAGCCCCCCTACCATGAACTGAAACCCCAGGTGGGGTCCATCACCCTGACCAATTGGGTGGGTGCCTAAAGACAAGCCAAGACTCTCGCTCCACTGGACAAGGCCTGACCCTGAGCTGAACCTGGTTCCCCACCGCCTCCGTGGAACAAGCTGGCAAACAGCTGCCTCCTAAGACCTATCGGCAGACACACCCGGCGGCCCCACCCCTTTATCCCTCTCAGCATTTCAGGAATCCATCCAAGGCCTTTTCTGTCCTCTGCCTGGCAGCTGGCCTGGCCATATCACAGGCCCTGGATGCTCCAGCCCCCAACCTCTGGTACCCCGTGACCGAACACTCCACCTCATTGGCCACGCTGTCCCGTCAGCTCCAGGGCCTCTGCACACGCCATCCCTGCACCTACCTTCTTCCTCCCAGTCTGAGGCTGTCTCCTCTGACTTGGACCCTGCCCTGGTGGCTGCTGCCTCTCCCCGCTTCCTCCTGGTCCACCACTCATCTCTGGTCCCAGAGATTGGCACAAGGTGGCAAGGAGCAAGGAGGGGGGACCCGCTCTGCAGGTGGGAGAACAGGTGCCACAAGAGGCGACCAAGTGAGGCGGGGAGGGGAACTTGATCCCTGCAGCTAGAGTCCAGAAGCTAGGCAGCTGGAAAGCAAAGAAGGGAGCTTTCTGGAACTCAGGCAGCCTCAGAGATTGGTGAGCTCAGCCCTCACTTTGCAAAGGAGGGAAACCAAAAGCACCAGGGGTCAGGGAGGGACCTGAGAACTGAGAGGGGCCTTCTGGCTGCAGCCCCGTGGAGAGAAAAGATGTAGGCAGCTAAGGGTGGCCTGATCCCGCGGGCCCCCACACCAGGGGCACGACCTGGATGTGTGGCCTGTCTGCTGAGTCGGCCCAATTCCTGACTTGCTCCTTGGTCCCAATTGGGAAGCAACCAGAAGAATAAAGCCAAGGCCTCAGGCAGGACTCTCAGGAAGGCTGAGCTCCGTGGGGGCCCACCTCACACAGGGCACTCCCTCCCTCGGGTGATATGGGGTCCTCCTGAGTGTGCAGGGAGGTCAGGGCTTCCTTCCAGGAGGCAACCACGCCCACACTCAGCCTTCTGCCCACTCTCAAGCTGCTCATGGGTCCCACGCACCAGGTAAGGGAAGCCCTACTGGGGAACCCTCCAGAGTCGAGGCCCCCGGGGGGGGGGGGGGGTGGGACACCTGCTGCTGCTCGGGAATTGGGAGGCTCAGTGGGGACCCACTCCCCACTCCCAGGTCAGTAGGACAGCCCTGCACGCACCCCTGCTACCCAACCCCAAAGAGCTGGCGGCTCCCAACCTCGCTGGCCCGTGCCCCACCTGCCTCAGACCCCTTTCTGTGGATAAGGAATTCAAGCTCCCTTCTAAGTCGGCAACCTTGGCCCCGGCCCCCACCCAGGGGGCACCCTAAGACAGGACACAAACACGAACAGCCATTTCCCCATTTCCTCAGACCCGCCAGACAGCCGGGGTCCGGCACCCAGCGTTAAGACCCCTCCTTGGAGGGACCCGCGCCGGCCCTCCAGAACAGGCGAACCGCCCACACAGCCGAGGGAGGACAGGGGGCGGATCCGCGGGACGCCCCTCACCGAGCCACCAGCGGCACCGCTGGCTGGGGCTCTGCCAGGAACCCTGGTGACGTGACCTCGGCCTGGTCACCTTCCCCCAGAGGTTCAGAAGGGGTAGAATCTAAGTTGGAGCAGAAGGGCTCCAGGAGGCGCGCCCCAAGAAAAAGGGGGAGAGAAAAGTAGGGAGCAGCTTCCGGTTGCAGGTGGGCGGTCCGGGGGTGTGTCCAAAGAGGCGGCAGTGGCGGTAGGGCCCGGAATCCTAGGGTATGTGGTTCGCGGCGAGGTGAGGCTCGGTAGTGGGGACGGGGTCATCCCGGGAGGAGGATCCCAGGCAACAGGGTCGAGGGTCACGGGACTGGGCTCTGGTCTCCCGAGGTGGGGACACCGGGGAGGGGGAGGCCAGCGGTAGGGTGCGGCCTGGAGGAGCTAGGAGTGAGTTCCTGGAATCGGGATCAGGGGCCACTAACCCGGGGAGGCCCGGGCCTTGCGGGGTGGAAGCTTCTGGGAAGGGGAGCGGGGGGCGGCAGGCTTAAGGGAAGGGTCAAAACCGGCCCCGCCGGGTCTATGCTTCCAGGAAGGAGGGGCACGCGGCCCCGGGCGGAGTCAGAGGTCGAACTCAGGGGTAGGGGGTCCATCCGCCGGGGTTAAGGGTCGGGGCCGCGGTCACCTTGAGCAACACGAAAAACTCGAAGAGCCGACGGAAGGCGGGCGGGAAGAGGCGCGAGTAGGTGACAGCCATCTTGAAGAAGAGAGCGTGGAAAAGCCGGTCGCGCACGTTGATGAGAGGATTGGGGTTGAGGTTGGGGGTGCGAGGCCCGCGCGCGGGGGCCGGGCCGCCGCCGCCGCCGCCGCCGCCGCCGCCGCCACCACCACCACCACCGCCGCCACCACCGCCGTTGGGCCCAGGCCCCGGGGCCCCGGGTGCCGCGTGCTCCGACATGCCGCCCAGTGTAGCACCCTAACGGCCCGCGGCTCCCCGAGGGCGCCTCCCGGCCGCCATCGGCAGTCTTCGCCGCCGCCGCGCTCCTCACAGCCACCGGGCCGCTGCCGCCATCTTCCGCCTCCGCTCCCCAGCTGACGCCAGCGAGTCGCAGCGACGGCTAGAGCGGCCTCCTTGCGCTCGCGGAGCACGCTGGGAAACCGGCTGCCGACCCGCGGTGGCTCCGCCTTCTGGAGTCTCAGCCCGCTCGGGAGCGCTGAGGGGCGGGGCCCCGTCTGGCCCCGGTCTCTTGCATATTGCCCCCACTACCGCTGCAACTCGAGCGTCAAAATTAGTCAATATCTGAGGTGTTTAGAAGTGATAAAATATACTGAAAGGAAATACGACTGTTGGAGCTGTCTTCTACGTTGCACTCTAGAAAACTATACTGAAAATAGGCTCACAGTAGAGTATTCTGGCTGAAAAGTGATTTAATTTGCGGTCTTTAAATTACGTCCCCAGAAGTGTACGGAATTCTCCTTTCGGCCGGGGCCGCTGTGCCCCTAAGCAGACTAACCTGATGCGCCGTGAAGTCATAAAGGCCCGTGATGTTGCAGGGCCTCGCTTAGTTAAGTACTACCTCCCCCTCCTCGCAGAGGTCGGTAAGTGGAAGGACTGACGGACCTCTCTCTGCACTTGGTGGCGGTCTGGGGGGTTTTAGGGGTCTAGAAGAGGCTAAGCGAACTGCCTTTGCCCAACCTTCTAGCCTTCGGTCCGTTCCCGACTTTTGGTTGTTCAGTCGCTCAGTCGTGTTGGACTTTGCGACCTCATAGACTGCAGCACGCCAGGCTTCCCTCTCCTTCACTATCTCCAGGAATTTGCTCAAACGCGTGTCCACGGAGTCGGTGATGCCATCCAACCGCCTCATCCTCCCTAGGTTTTCCTTCTGAGAACGCGGGCCGGCTCAGCACCACCCATCTCTCTCCGGCTCTTAGGGCGTCAGACCCGCGGTTCCAGTCTTTCCAGGACGACTGAGCAGACAGCCCTTTGTCAACTAAAGCGGGATAGCAAATGGTGTATACCTGACCAGGCCCTCCTTGTTGACTGCCACCAGTTGCCTGCCCGAGATGTCCCAGACCTGGGAGCCCACATGTGAACTACAGACATGCTCATTCATTCATCTTTGAAAAGCCTGGGCGCCTCCTAGCAGCCATGGTAGTAATAGAATCCAACATTCACTAGGCACCTACTCTATGCCAGGTACAGTACTTCCATTCCATGCTCCAAAGCAAGAACGGGTGGGCTGCAGCAGGGAGCATGGCCGGTCAGGAGGAGCCAGAGGCTGGGTGTGGGAGAGGACACCTGAGTACAGACGCTGGGGAAGGACACCCAGGGAACATTAAGGGTCAGTCAGGGCCTCTGAGAAAGACCAGGGTGTGAGGCAGGCATGGCGGGGAGGAGATTTTTCAGCTGTTCTAGAGCCTCAGAGAACGTTCCAGACCTACCTGCCTGGTTTCATAATCCTGGGAGCCCCACTTCGTTGAGGTGGACAGGAAGCTAAGGTCATCCCATCTCTTCCTGTTTCATAGAGAATGCCCTGTATGGGGGCCTAGCATACAGTGGCTGCTCAACCAATGCACATTCTTGACATTGTTACAGGCCACCCCAGATCATTTATTGGTCACAAAAGGAGAACACAAACTCCTCTTTTATAATGGAGAGGCCAGTCGATGTACCCTTGACCTGGGGAGAAAACCCAGCTGCTCAGTGGGGGTGGGGGGGTGGGCTGTGAGTCCCTGAAATGTGCAGTGAGGTCTAATGCGTTAGCCATATGCAACTTCTAAGTTCTGGAAATGTGGCCAGTGCAGCTGAGGAATGGGATTTTAAACTTTATTTTTATTGAGGTAATTTGTATTGAAGTAGGGCCGTGTGGGAAGCGACTGCTGTACTGGTAATCCCCGTCTAGCACTCACTTCCACGTTAGGGAGACACTCGACTCGGGAGCAAATGAAAGTTACTGTCACAAAAAAGGAAAATGGGGGGAAACAGTTCTAAATCTAAGACAAAGATACGGAGAAGGACCAGAATCCGCACTTCTGGAAACAGTTGGAGACTTTATTTTACTTTATTTTATTCTTTTTTATTTGGAGGATAACTGTTTTACAATGTTGTGCTGGTTTCTGCTGTTGTTTTTTGGTTTGGGTTTGTCTTCTGTTGGGGACTTCAGAAGATGGCTGGATCTCACAAGATGCTGTGAGTGTCACTTGGGACCTGAATGGTATGTGTGAGTGGCATTGGGCTGGGAGTCCTGGTTAGGGCTCACTGAGAAGATTCTAGAAGGCAGACAGTGAACATGCCAGGTGGAAAGAGTTTCAGGTAGAGAGCACCGTGGGAGCAAAGGCCCTGAGGTAAGCCTGTAGCTGATTATTGGAGGCAGAGAGAGGAGAAGCCCCATGCCTCTGGAGTACAGTGAGCCAGGGAGACCTGGGGACCTGGAGATGCCTTTGTTGAGGGGTGATAGGGAGCCTGGCAGATTGTGAGCAAGGGAGATGCTGACCTCAGTTAACAGGCTTGTCATTTTTACTGTAACTATCATTGTTTTCTTGTCACTGCATCATTTGGCACATAGGACCCCTGGGGTCTCATGCAAAGCCCAGAAGGCCCTCACCGCACCTGCAGCTCCTGTGCCCACCCACTCAGACCCTGGGGCCCAGCACCCAAGGCTGAGGCTCCAGGGTTTCCTGCAACCCCAGGTCATCCAGCCGTGGCCCCCATCCCAGAGTACCTGAATCTGTCCCCAGTGAGCCTGCGTCACTCCACAGCCGTCCTACCCCCACAATGTCCCCAGGGTCAGTCCTGGACAGAGAGGTGAGCGCCAGCGTTCAAGGCTGTAGGGCAACTGCAGAGGCCCCAGGCCTCCCGGCTGTGTTCCGAGGCTGAGCCAAAATTCCTGAGATTTTGACATGCCTTTATCTCAGCTGACCGGGAATTTGAACCCAGGTGGGGCCCACTGAGGTTGTAAGATTACACAGAACCACATAGTTCTGTAAGCTTCAGGTCCTGGGGGAAGTTTCTCAAATTATAATATTCTAAGCTTTTGGAACCTCAGGGTTTTGAATTCTCAGATGTCTGACCTGAATTTCTGGGTTTCAGGAGGCTAAGAATATAGTGTGTTCTCAGTTGTTCAGTTGTGTCCGACTCCTTGCTATCCCATGGGCTATAGCCCACCAGGCTGGCTCAATTCTCCTTCCCACTACTGCCAGCCCCCACAGTGCCCTGGTCCTGCCCACCCCCTGTGGAATCTGCAAGGAGTCCACCAGCGCAGCCCCTACCCAAACAGCTCCCCACCTAGACACTGAGAAACCACCCTGTTCCCACTGGCACATAGGACCCACTCAGACGCACTGTCTGGTTGAGCACTGGTTCCTTTTTCACAAATGATGAAACTGAGATCCGGATGGGAAGGGACTCACCCAAGACCACCCACCTCGGACTTGAGCCCTGAAGAAAGGAGCCTTCACATAGAATAGGAGATGCATAGTAAGGGAAAGAGTCAATAGACATCGAGAGAGTGGGGCACTGGGGAGGGGTGTTCCCGGGAAGGGCAGAGTGAGTAATCTCTAAGCCCTCACAGATCATTTGTCAAATGTTTCAAACTCCTACTTATGCTTCAAAACCCCACTTCTCATGCCCACTCTTACATGCCTCTTTCCTTTACCCCTCCAGGGGAGCACTCACTCACTCCTGGGGTTCCTCCACCCCAGACACCTCTCTGTCCTGTACCTGCTCACATGGGGTGGGAGTGTCTATGCCAGGGTCTGTCTTCGAAGGGATGGGCAGGGCCAGAGCCATGGCCTCCTGGGAGCCAGTACAGCCTAGCAAGGGATTGGCCCAGAGGCCCTGTCATAGAGCTTTCGATGAATAAGTAAATAGGTGTGTGAATGAATGTTACTGAAAAAGTGAAATTTATTCCTTTATTTATTGATTTATCTGTACAAGCAGGCAGCATGTATTGAGTGCCAAGTGTGTGCCTGGCTTGGTTCTCTTGGCGTCCTCAACTCTACCCCTAAGGCATCTCCTGACTTCAACTCTCTGCTGTTCCATCTCCTCCCCATTCCCACCATCCCCCAACCCAGAATCTAGGGTCCCTTCTCATCCCCCACTTCCCCAACCTATCTGATTGATCTCTGCGCACTTTCAACCACTGATGGTCCCTCCAAGTCTTTGCACTTTTTGTTCTGCCAGGACAAACAATACCCTTTGGACTGGCAAACTCCTACTCCTATATCAAAGTCCCAGCGCCAATGGCCCCCTCCGCTGAAGAGCCTGTCCTAGTTCACTTGCTTACCACCCAGCTAGGAGGGTTTCCAGAAGCGGACCTAGACTGGGAGGCGCCTCTAAGCATCAAAGAAGGAGTTCCCCTGCACACCCCCTCCCACATTAGTGTCCAAAGGGAATTAGGGTCCCATTCAACCATTTTCCCCGTACCATCCTCATGTAGAAAGGTTAGTTGAGGCCCAGAAAGCATGGGGAGAGCTGCCCGGGAGATCCCAGCATTGAGTAGGAGGGGGTGCCGGGTCTCCGAGGTGCGGGGCCCCGTCCCTCCCGGCCTCTGTCTCCCGGGGGTTCCGAGGGGGCGGGGCGGGGGTCGGGCGGTTCAGGGGCTCAGGAAGCCCGCGGCCTCAGGAATCCGGCGCGGCGCAGCCTTATAAGGACATGTGCGCCCCGCGCCAATCAGCGGTGGGGGCGGGGCGCTGGGTCCGCGTCCCCTGTCCGCTCGCCCGCCAGTCCGGCCGTCGGTCCGTCCGTCCCGTCCCGCGGCGCCGCGCCCGCCAGCCATGAGCTCCACGCAGTTCAACAAGGGGCCCTCGTACGGGCTCTCGGCCGAGGTCAAGAACCGGGTGAGTGAAGGGAGCTCCCTCTCCGCCAGCCCAGCCCGTCGCACCCTCCGCGGCTGCAGGGGGGGCGCCCCGCTGGGCTCCCCGGACATCGGGGGCGGCCCTCCTCCCCCGAAACTCCGAGGGTGCCTCCGACGTTCCCTAAACTCTGGGGGAACAGTAAGGTCTGTGCTCTGGCACCCCCCAACATCTAGGAGCGGTTGGGTCCAACCCTTTACTCAGCCCTGCTCCCTCAGCCGCTACTCGTCTGAAGTCCCCCGCCCACCGCTCTGAACCCCCCAGCCCTGGGCCCCTCTAGCCCTTCAAGGCCTGAGAAGGTCTTGAGGGAACCCCAGCAGCCCTTTCTCATCCCCTCCCCCACTTCTGCTTTTGGACCACTTTAAACTTCGGGGAAGGAAGGGGGCGGGCCAGGTGTTTTTGAGAAGGGTGTGGCCCCCCAAAAGAATTTCCCGACTTCTTACACCTGGGAGGTGGGGCACTGGGTGGGTGGAGGGGAGCTGGAATCTAGGGGGCCTACCTTCCCCAGTCTCTTTGTCACCATCTGACATACTTAAAGAAATAGCAAAGAGGTCCCCAGTCCCCTGAATGTGACCCTAGCATGTGGGTTTTGTAACTTGAAAACGCAGGCTAGGGTGTTGGGAGGTGGGGCACTCTTCTTTTTCAGAAAGTTCTTTTGGTTCCAGCCCAGGAGGGCAGGACTTCTGCAAGGTCACACAGCAGGTTCAGCGCATCCAAGGAAACAGGAGCAGAGAGTGATCCCTGTCCCAGAGGGCAGGGGAAGAGGTCCTAAGCCCGACACACAAGGGTTTTCCAGCTGGAGGGGAGTTTGTCATCCCTGTCCACCCCCTAGGCACACACTGTCACCAGGCACCTGGGAATGTGGCCCCAGGAAGGCGGCTGACGGGAGCCTGCCTGGGCACACTGGGGACACAGCCCTGCTGGCCCCCAGGCCCGTGCCAGGTCATCAGACCAGAGGGAGAGTTTCCACATCTCAACTCTGTGAGCTCCTAGGAACTTCCCTGCAGCCTATTTGGGAAGCCCAGGATCCGAGCATGGTCACCCAGCAAGCTCCCCATCTATTCCCTCTTGAACACACAATTCCACACTCCAGCAGTAACGCCTTGGTGGGGAGCAGAGTGTTGACAGTCCCCACCCAGCCGAGACCCTCTGAGATTCCTGCTTAGCACATGGAGTTCAGAGACATCGCTCAGATGGCCCAGACCCACGTAACAGATCAGAGGCAGGGTCAGGACTCGAACTCAGACCTGGCATAGGCAGTGTCCGATGGCCAGCAGCCTTCCTGGGCAGCCAGGCGTCTCCCCTGAAGCAGCAGGAAGTGGGTGAGGGCACAGCACCCCAGCAGGGTGGGGGCAGCTTCCTGCGATGGAGTGGGATGGAGGCAGGTTGTTACCTGCCCTGTGGGGGATGAGGTCAGAAGCTCCTTGTGACCAGCCCTCAGTCTGCGGGCCTGGAGAATGGGCGGGGCCCCCACCCCCTCACCGGAGTCACCTCGGGGCCCCACCTGAATTGGAAACCAGGTTCCTGTGGTTTCTAGACCGTCCACTTTGAGAGGAGGAAGACCCCCTGCTCCCCACCCCCGGCTTCAGTCCTACTTCTGGATGGCGTACAGGCAGGCTGAGGTCCAGTGCGTACCCCTCAGATCTCCGGCTGGCTGGGGGGTCTGGACCGCTGGGAACAGCTGGTCCTGATTTAGCAGGGAGGCAGCGGCTGCATTCCTGGCAGTTTGCGGTGGGGAGGAATGCGCTGAAGGCCAGCTGGGCAGCAGGGTGGAAGGCGGCCTAGCGGGTGGGGCTGGGCCAAGCACCCCTGCCCGGGACCCTCCCTGGCCCCAGCCCCAGCGAGCTGTCAAGGATGAGGACAGGGCCCAGCTGGGCAGGCAGGCCAGAGGTCCAGACCAGCCTGGCTGCTTCAAGTTCAGCAATCCTAATAACACCCCCTCCCTCCCCCCCACCCTTCTGCCGGGCGTGGGAACCAGAGACAGGAGACAGAGGAGATCCGAGGAGGGAGTGGGCTGGACAGATCAGGTTCACAGGCCAGGCTCCCGCCTTTGTCTCCCCTGCACTCTGAGCAGCTCAGCCCTGATCCCATGTCTAGGGGTTTAAATGCAGGAAGCAGGAAGAGGAGCCCAGGTCTGGAAAGCCTTATGAAGACCATTCAAACATAGCTGGGGAGACAGAGGCATGAGGTGAAACCTGTCCATGATCATTGAGGAGGTGGGGGCTGCGAGGGCAACCCTGAGTCCTTGTGGGTGTGGAGGACAGAGCAAGGTGGGCACAGAGTGAGTAGAGGTGAAGAGGGGTCTGGGGTTGGGGCTTCCCAGGTGGTGCTACTGGTAAAGAATCCGCCTGCCAATGCAAGAGACATAAAAGACACAGGTTTGATCCCTAGGTTGGGAAGATCCCCTAGAGGAGAGCCCTCCGGTATTCTTGCCTGGAGAATCCCGTGGACAGAGGAGCCTGGTGGGCTGTGGCTCATGGGGTCGCAAAGAGTTGGACACAACTGAAGCAACGGAGCACACACACACGGGATCTGGGCAGAAGCCCACCCAGCTGGGCAGCCAGGTCCTCAGGTTTTTACCACCCCTCCAGGGAGCTGCCCTGGGGGCAGCCAGTGCTGTATCTGATGGGGCAGCATGAGCCTCCTTACTGAGAGAGAGCCTGAGTTGGCCCGTACCTCTTGTTGCTTGTCATGAGCTTGGACCATCAGCTAGGAGACAGAGCATACCGCAAAAGGTAGAAAAAGCTAGAAAGAAGATAAAGCAGGGACTTCCCTGTGCAGGAGGCCTGGGTTCAGTTCCTGGTCAGGGAACTAGATTGCACATGCTGAAACTTCAGAGTCCGCATGCCACAAGTAAAGATCATGTATGCCGCAACAGCCAAGCCAAATAAATATTGTTTTAAAAAGAAGATAATAAGGACTGGGGGTGGGGATGCAGAGGGTCGTCACAGCCAGGTGGTCAGGAAAGATCTTTCCAAGGAGGTAACCTTCAAGCTACAACTGGATTGAAAGGAGGAACCTGTGCAAACATGAGTCCAAGGTGGCAGCATGTGCAAAGGTCCTGAGGTAACCGCTAGTGTGGCCAGTTCAAGGAGCAGAGAAAGGTTCAGCAGTTCCAAAGTAAAGGTAGAATTATCATGTGACCAAACACTTCTCCCTGGTATATACCCCGAAGAACTGAAAGCAGGTTTTCAAATAAAACTTACAAATGGATGTTTATAGCAGCTTGACTCACAAGAGCCAAAAGATGGAAGTGACCCAAATATCCATCAACGGGTTAATGGATAAGCACAGTGTGGTCCTTCCACACACAGGAGCATCACTTAGTCAGATAAAGGGGTGAAGGGCTTCCCTGGTGGCTCAGTGGTGACGAACCTGCCTACCAATGCAGGAGACACAGGTTCAATCCCTGATTTGGGAGGATCCCACATGCCACGAAGCAACTAAGCCTGTGCACCAAAACTATTGAGCGTATGCTCTAGAGCCGAGGAGCTGCAACTACTGAAGGTCAGTCACCCTAGAGCCCATGCTCCACAAGAGAAGCCACTTCAATGAGAAGCCCACACTGGCCATGACTAGAGAAAAGCAGGCACAGCAATGAAGATTCAGCACAGCCAAACAAATAAATAAATAAAATTATATAAAAAAAGAAGTGGAGCCCTGACACTGGCTCCGTATGGATGGACCCTGAGAACACGATACTTAGTGAGAAGCAGACACAGAAGGACACACAGGGTGTGATTCCACTGATGGGAACTGGTCAGAACAGGTAGATCCACAGACACAGAGAGTGGGTTTCTGCTTGTCAGAGGCTGGGGAGGCGGGGAGAGCTAATAGGGATGGGCTTACTTTGGAGGTGATGGAATGTTCTGGAACCAAACAGATGATGGTTGCACAACCTCATGAATGCACTGAATGTCACTGATTTATGAGCTTTCAAGTGGTACATGTTGTATGTTTCTCACCATAATTTAAAAACAACAGAGAAAGGCCAGTATCTAGTGCTGGGAGACCAGGGAGGTGGCAGGCACGGAGGCAGATCCTTTAGGTGGGGGCTGGTGGCAGGGCCATGTTGGCTGTCCTGGGAGGTTAGCACCATTGAAAGTAGATTAGCCCCTATGTTTATCAGTGAGAGACTGGAGTTTATCTGTGCTGATGGGAAAAGGAAGAGTCTCCTCCAGTGGTGTGGGGACCTCCTGGCTACTCTGTTTCTTCTTTCCCGAAACACTGGATCTTGCCCAATGAGGAGCTTCACTGGGCTCACCCCAACCCTGTGTCCTCTACCCCTCCAGCTGCAGTCCAAATATGACCCTCAGAAGGAGGTGGAGCTCCGGAGCTGGATTGAGGGACTCACTGGCCTCTCTATTGGCCCAGACTTCCAGAAGGGTCTGAAGGATGGGATCATATTGTGCACGTGAGTGCATGGGTCTACTGTGCTCATCACCATGACTGCTATGCATGATGAGGTCATGCTGTGTGTGACTTCTGCTTGCTTTTTCTTGATGAGTGTCTGGTTTTGCTCTTCTTTTTCCTGTGTTACTGCTTTGATCTCTAAAAGCATTCTCTTAGAAGAGCCATAAGGTTTCTGGAGGCCTTTCTTTGCTGCCCCTAATTCAGCTGTGGTTCAAACATTCCATGGTTTGCACCTTAAAAATTTTCATGGAAATTCCCAGAATCACTGGATAGCTCAGTGATTCTGAATTGCATTCCCAGCACTGGTTGTTGTCATTCTTTGGCATCTTTGTTTCTTTGGTGGGTGGAGACTGGATTGTAATAGGGGAAACTTAGGCCCAGAGAGAGGGTGGCCAGGAAGCTGTGAATAAGTCTTGGGTCTCTGAGGTTCCCCTACACTAATGGAGATTCCCCTTTTCCCCCCACCCCATGTATCCTCCTCAGACTCATGAACAAACTGCAGCCAGGCTCAATCCCTAAGATCAACCGCTCCATGCAGAACTGGCACCAGGTGAGGCACCAGGGGGAGGGAGATGGAACCAGAATGGGGCTGTGGGACCCTATCTGACAGGTGGGGAGACCAAGGCCCCTCACCATCCTTCTCTTGCCTCCTCCCAGCTAGAAAACCTCTCCAACTTCATCAAGGCCATGGTGAGCTACGGCATGAATCCTGTCGACCTGTTCGAGGCTAACGACCTGTTTGAAAGTGGAAACTTGACTCAGGTGCAGGTGTCTCTTCTTGCCCTGGCTGGGAAGGTGAGGTTCAGAGAGGGTCAGCAACCTGCCCAAAGTCACACAGCAAGCCAGGCAGAGATTTTTCAGATGCTCTTCATTCATTCTTTTACAAAGATTTCTGAGCTCTCATGAGGCACCCAGCACTTTGGATTCAAGGGTGACCAAGGCAGACACAGTCCACCCCTTTATGCATAGGCAATGAATGAATTTTTTTTTAATTATTTTTAAAAAATTTATGTGTTAGAGCATTTTTAGGTTCACAACAAAACAGAGTGGAAAGTACGAAGACTTCCCATGGCCCCACTCCTGCACAGGCTCCCCCACTTCTCATGCAGTCAGTGACCCTCCACAGGCACCTTGCTACACCCAGAGTTCATATTAGCGTTTGCTCTTCAAATCATTGCTTTACAAATTATAAATTGCGAGAAGCCCCTTGAAAGAGAAGAAAGCATGATGCTGACATCTAGAATAAAACTGAGACCAGGGCAGGCTGGAACAACATTTTAGGAGGAGGGAACAGCGAGCTTCTGCCATGGGGATGAAGCGGGGGGGTTGTGTCAGGTAAATTGTGTTTTGAACCTCCTGTGGCTGCTACGTGGGCAGTGAGGCTGGGAGACCAGTGAGGAGTAGGAGACAGGTGTGGGGGAGAGATGGTGGCTGGGGCTGGGTAGAAGGAGGTGATGAAAGGTGAGAGAGATGGGAGGTGAGGATGCCCCCCACAGTTCTTGGCCTGTGCAGCTGGAAGGGTGGGGATGCTGTTGCCTGGGAAGGGAAAGCCAGGGGTCAAGGAAAGCCATTGAGTCCACAGTGCTGGGTGGATTGTACAAGGCCAGGTTGCAGCCGGAACACCGGGCCTCCTCTGGACTTGGATACCTGGGACCTGGCTGCCCCAACCATGATACTCCCTCTCCACTTTCTCCCCAGGCCAAGACAAAGGGATTACAGAGTGGTGTGGACATTGGCGTCAAATACTCGGAGAAGCAGGAGCGAAACTTTGATGATGCCACTATGAAGGCGGGCCAGTGCGTCATTGGGCTCCAGGTGGGCACCTGGCTGCTCCAGCGTCGGGGCACATGGGTGGTGGGCTTCCCGTGGCTCCTCAATTTCCGGGCAGGGTCTGGAGGCTTTGTGGGAGCAGCCTGACCTTTTCTGCCTCCCTGCAGATGGGCACCAACAAATGTGCCAGCCAGTCCGGCATGACAGCTTATGGTACCAGACGGCATCTGTACGACCCCAAAAACCATATCCTGCCCCCCATGGACCACTCGACCATCAGCCTCCAGATGGGCACAAACAAGTGTGCCAGCCAGGTGGGTTGCCCCAGTTTCCCCAGACTCCCTGCTCTGACTCTACCTCAGCTTGCTGTTTGTCCCCAGGGAAGTTACTACCCAGCTCTGTGCCTCGGTTTCCCTCAAAGTTGGATGCCCAGAGACCCATCCAATATTTTTAGATCCTGCAGTCATCACTTCTCCTGCTGTGTTGATGTATCAGTGTAATGATTTTGGAGCATTCAGGTCTGTGTCAGCCCTGAGCCCCAGCCCGGGGAGCTTCGACTCAACACAGAGTCAGAAAAGAGAGGGTTCTGAGCAGGGCTAGGAAGGATCTGTACAAAAGGAATGCCCACTGTGAGTGCACACATGGAGGCGGGAAAAGGTGTGTGGGAAGTTCTCTGGGGGTTCTGTTTCTCCTCTTCCCTCCCTGATGCCTCCTCTCTCTCTTCAGGTGGGCATGACGGCTCCAGGGACCCGGCGGCACATTTACGACACAAAGCTGGGGACAGACAAATGTGATAATTCCTCTATGTCCCTGCAGATGGGCTACACACAGGGTGCCAACCAGAGTGGTCAGGTGTTTGGCCTGGGCCGGCAGATATACGACCCCAAGTACTGCCCTCAAGGCCCAGTGGCCGATGGGGCTCCAGCAGCTGCTGGAGATGGCCCAGGCCCAGGGGAGCCCTCAGAGTGCCCTCCCTACTACCAGGAGGAGGCAGGCTACTGAGACACCCGTGCAGGCCATCTCCCCACATCATTGCCCCATCTGGGTTTTCGGGTCTTTCTGTGTTTTTTGTCTTGTTTTTCTACATGTCTGAATGCTGCCAGGTGAGACTCTGGGGGAAAGGGGTGAAGGCCATATCCAGATGCATGTGGGGGTTCCCCTTCAGGGCAGCTCTAGGCATCAGGTTTCCCAGCAGACTTTGGGCCAAGCTGTTAGGGGGAAGAAGAAACCCAGGCAGGGAGGGGAACTGGCCCCAAGTGGTTTCCGGTTACGTCTTCCCTGCTTCTCTTTTTCCTGCCGATCAGTTTGTGGTTTCTGTACCCACAGAAGTTTCAGGCTGTTTTAATGAAATGAAAATACTTTTTGTTCGGGGGAATGGTGGCAGGGGGTGGGGGTGGGGGGGAATGCTGAGAGAAGGTCAAGCCACAGTCCCAAAATATTTTAGGCCTCATGGATTTCCCTAGGACTCTCAGACCACCAATCCTGGGCCCTCCCAGGGGCCCAGTGGGGACACTGAGGCCCAAGCAGGACAGTGGAGTTCTGAGTGCTTGAGATAAAGCCAGCCCCCACCCCCCACACTTGTCCCCACTCCCTCACCAAGTACTGCACAGGGACCCCTACCCAGAGGCCCCCACAGGGACCAGCCCCTGCCCAGGAGCCCTAGGACCAAGAAATAATGTGAAAATACCAACTGTGGACCAAAGTAAATAAAACCTCTTTTTGGAAATGAAGGTGTTGGAGCTGGTGTCCAAGACAACCTGGGGGTGGTGCCTGGCTTGGATTCCCTCTGGGGCTTCCAGGGTGGGGCAAAGGACAAATCTCTTGAGTAGGTCCTCAGGACTGCAGCTTCATCCAGCCTGCAGGCCTTAGTGCATTTACTCCTCACAGAGGAGTTCTCTCCTGACAAACTCCTCTTCATCCTCAAAGCCCCAACAGCAACAACCTCTCCTTTCTGGAGCCCTTCCCACACTTCTCACCCTTCCCAGCACCTTCAGAGCTGTGGATTCACACACTTGTTTCATTTTCATCATGATCTTGTGAAATATATCCAATTTCCTGGGGGGGGGAAACTTCTGGAGGTTTTCTTCGAAATCGAGGTGACCATTATGACCCCAGATTCTAATCTTAGAATGTTGAGGGCCACCTCCCCCTTCTGCCATAGCCTGGCCCACTGTAGGGATGTTTGTGGAATGAATGAATGAACAAATGATGATTCTAGTCAAACTCCCGTTTTCTGGATGGACAAATAGAATCCCAGGGTACCAGGGCGAGTTTGGTTAGGACTGGGGGGCCCCTCTGGCGAAAGTGGGGAGAAAGAGATCTCCTGAGACCCGGAGCTGCGGTATTGCAGGCGGTTATGCAACGTGAGAAGACAGTCTGGCGATTTTGTGCCGAGGACAAGTTGACCCGGGCACCCCTCCTCCTCGCGATGATGCAGCAAGAGCGGTCACTTTAAGAAACCCGGCTCGGCGCCACCCGCTGTGACACCGCCTCCCGCGTTAGCGCGCGCGGCTCCGGCTGGCCAGGTCTTTGAGTGGCGCTTACAGAAGCCAATGGGAGTGGGTGGGGCGGAGCTCTGCCCGACATAAGCGGCCGCGGGCACCGGAAGCCAGGTACAATCCGCAGCTGGGGCGCCTCTCCGGCGGTTAGGGCTCGTCATAAAGGAGCCGCTCTCCCCTGCGGCTGTGGAGGGTAGGGAAGGTGGAGAGAGCTGGGGGCTGGAATGGTGAGACGGTCCTGAGGAAGGTCCTGAGAAGATGCGGGGGGTGCAGATGGGTAGAAAGGAGGCAGATTCCGTGGGAATTAAAGGGTGTGACCCGAATCCAGACTCACTCATTTTCACTCACTGGCCGGGGAGTGTTGGAAGCTGCAGAATTGACCAATAATTCTCCAAGGGGAGGTTGGGCTGGCGACCCGAACTAGGAGTAGGCCTAAGTTTCTGTTTCCCCCGAAATGGTAAGATTCCCTACCGCCATCAGGCGCCAATCAACATACGCCCAGTAAGAAAAAGGGAACCTATCAGGGGAAAGCTGAAGAGCCCGCGAACGCCCAAGTTTGAAAAAAGCTGGCGAAAGTTTGGACAAATAAAATTGCTTTGCAAACATGTAACCAATTCGCTTAAGCCGGCTACCAGCTGCTTATGCTCACCCTATAAATTTGTGTAACAGCTTGGGCTTGGGGGGGGTCTCTGACCCTGCACCACTGAGTTGGATGTGGCAGGAGCCCTGACTTGAGTCAGCAATAAACTTCCCTTTTTGCGAGTTGCATTGTCTTGGAGGTTTTCTCTCTTCCCGCTCGGGGATTCAGACATCGGGCATAATATTTGGGGGCTCGTCCGGGATCCCTTGACCGGGGGAAGAGAACACTTCCAGGACAGAGGGGAAGGATAGATAATAGCACCGGTGCTCAGGCAGGACAAGAAGTCCAGTGTAAATCCAAGGCCCTGCTGTGAAGCAGGAAGGTATCTGGCACAGGAGAAAGCTTTCTATAGGGGGTCAGGCCAGCCGGCGTAAGACCGAGGCCAGCAGACGCGCTGGAAGGCAGCCGCCTCTGTGGGAAGGAGAGTTCCTCTCCTGATCCTGAGTCTAGTGAGCAGTGGACGCCATTCGGTAAGGTGAACCTAGTACCGGGGAGCAAGAAAATTCAGGGGGCCCAAAAACCCAGCGCTGTGTTGTCGGCCGATGTTTGTCCGTGTGTTTGTCTTGGCTCTCCGTGTTTGTGTGTGTGCCGGCATTGTCTCTGGTCTCGTTCTCTTCTGGTGCATCGTTCTCTTTTCTCTCTTCTGACTTACTCTCCTCTTCTTCTCTGATCTGCCCTCAACTCCTTTTCTTTTCAGGAGTTTCAGTGAACAGGCGAACGGTTGTGGGGACAATTGATGAGTCCCGGCCAGGGCTACACTCTGGCGGACTCTGAAGGCCCTACAATAAGTGAGCCTCAGTAACTAGAGCCCGACCGGGTGAAACTCTCCTTTAACATCTTTAACTGAGGACGTGGCCTAAAATTCTTCGTGTGGGCACAGGTCAGGCTTTAGGGCGCCTGCCACTTAAAGACTCTCGTGAGAGGATAAGGGGGTCACGGAACGGGCTAGAAACCCCTAGGGTGCCCGCCCCCAGCAAGAAAACTTCCGTGCAATGACACAGGCACATAAACAGTTCCAAAAGCATACCATAAGCCCAACTTCTTGGCCACCACCACTCCCAGTAGGATTTTTTGGTGGTCATTCTCAGTGACTTTCTCTCTCTCTCTCTCTCTCTCTCTCTCTCTCTCTTCCCTACCATTTATTCTTTGACCATGGGTCAGGGAGAATCTACCCCACTTTCCCTCATCACTGACCATTTTTCGAATGTTAGGGCCAGGGCCCATAACTTGTATTTGCTAGTCAAGAAAAGTAAATTAATAACCTTTTGCTCTGCAGAGTGGCCCGCCTTCCGGGTTGGATGGCCTCCAGAAGGCACCTTTCAACCGTCCATCATACAGGCTGTGAAGGAAGGAGATTATGGCTCCTGATCCCTGGGGCCATCTGGGTCACTTCCCCCATGTCATGGTTTGGCAGGATCTAGTGGAAAATCCACCTAAGTGGTTAAAACCTTTCGTTCACAAACCTCCTAGTTCTTCTAATTCACAGGTCCTGGTGATGGAGACCCCCCGGAGGAAACCAAAAAGAAAGAGGACCCAAAACTAGTCTTTCAGGAATCATCTTATCCAAACCTGATAGATCTAGAAATGGAGATGAGGCCTCCGCCATATGTACCCCCCTTGCAATTACCTCCGAGGAGAGAAGCTCCCACGGGTGAACCGAGAGGATTAGGAGGGCCAATGGGAACCGACCGTGAGGGGGGACCGGCATTGGGGACCCGGGGGAGGACTAGGGGAGATAGGGGTGGCCAAGACCCTGGGGACCCAGAGTTACCTTCATCCACTGTTCAGACGCTCCCCGTCCGAGTGGGACCAGCTAACCTGGACGGAGAGCAAACCTATCAGTACTGGCCCTTTTCCACGAGTGACCTGTACAATTAGAAGACACCAAACCCTCCTTTCTCAGAGAAACCCCAAGGCCACATTGACCTCTTAGATTCCATTTCGTTCACTCACAACCCCACCTGGGATGATTGTCAGCAGCTGTTGCAGGTGCTCTTCACCGCAGAAGAACGGGAGCGAATTCTGGCAGAGGCACAGAAACAGGTCCCGGGGGCCGACAGGAGGCCAACCGCCCAGCTTCATCTCGTGGACGAGGGGTTTCCTCTGTTGCGGCCTAACTGGGATTTTGAGCGAGCGGAAGGTAGGGAGTGTCTCCGAGTATACCGCCAGACTCTGATGGCAGGCCTGCGGGCCGCAGCTAGGAAGCCGACAAATTTGGCGAAGGTAAATTTAGTAAGGCAAGAGCCCACTGAGAGCCCGGCAGCCTTCCTAGAGAGGCTGTTGGAAGCTTTCAGGCAATATACACCTATGGACCCCCAGGCTGAGGAGTCACGCGCTGCAGTTCTGTTAGCGTTTGTAAATCAGGCAGCCCCAGATATTAGGAGGAAATTACAAAAGATAGAGGGGTTGGGAGAACAGACAATACAAGACTTACTGAAATCAGCTGAAAAGGTATTTAATAATAGGGAGACCCCAGAAGAAAGGGAAGAACGACTTCGTCGGGAGAAAAGGGAACTAGCTGAGAAGATCAGGAAAGAAGATAAGGAACATAGGGCGAAGGAAAACTGGAAGAACGAGAGAGAGCTAGCCCAGATTCTTTTTGCGGGGATGAAGGCCGGAACAGAATTGAGGGAGCCTCGAGACTCCCAGACGGGAGAAAAAGAGAGACCAAAAAGGCAGGCCCTAAAGAAAGATCAGTGTGCCTACTGCAAAGAACAGGGGCACTGGAAAAACGAGTGCCCTAAGAGGGACCCAAGGAGAGGAACGACCCAGAGAGAGAGAATCTCCCCTGGAACTCGAGTTCTATATGCGGGGGAAGACAGTGACTAGGGGGGGTCAAGACTCGGCACCCCTCCCCGAGTCCTGGGTAACCATACATGTGGAGGGGAAACCCGTTGGCTTCATGGTAGATACTGGCGCCCAACACTCTGTTTTAAATCAAAAACTGGGACCAATGTCTAAGAAAACCAGCTTAGTGCAAGGAGCCACGGGGACAAAAAGATATTGTTGGACCACAGAATGAAAAGTAAATCTGGGGACCCACCACGTGTCCCATTCGTTTTTGGTGATACCAGAATGCCCAGCCCCTCTACTTGGAAGAGACTTGTTGACTAAAGTTAATGCTCAGATCCATTTTGACCCTGGGGGAATGTCAGTCACGGATGGACTTGGACAACCGATACATGTCTTATCCCTAGCCTTAAGAGATGAATACAGACTTTTTGCACCTAAGCCCTCAGAGACCATAGCACCAGATGTACAACTGTGGGTCCATAAATACCCATTGGCCTGGGCAGAAACGGTAAGAATGGGACCGGCCAAACAGAGACATCCGGTCATCATCGAGCTAAAGGCCGAGGCAATTCCTGTGAGGGTGAGACAGTACCCCATGAGCCAGGAAGCTCAGCGGGGGATCACTCCCCACATTCGACGTCTCATGGATACCGGAATTCTCAAGCGGGGCCAATCCCCTTGGAACACCCCCTTACTGCCGGTGAAGAAGCCAGGGGGGACAGATTACAGACCTGTCGAAGACCTTCGAGAAGTCAACAAATGGGTGAGTGACTTACACCCCACTGTCCCTAACCCGTATACCCTCCTGAGCAGTTTGCTGCCTGAGTACACTTGGTACACTGTGTTGGACTTGAAAGATGCCTTTTTAAGCATACCCCTGGAGGCCCAGAGCCAGGAGATATTTGCCTTTGAGTGGACCAAGGGGGAAGGCCAACCGGTAGTACAATTAACTTGGACCCGCCTCCCACCGGAGTTCAAGAACTCCCCCACCTTGTTTAATGAGACTCCGAGTGAGGACCTCTACGAATATCAGGCTTGCCACCCAGAGGTCATTCTGCTACAATATGTAGGTGACCTTATGTTGGCTGGAACCACAGAGGAGGCATGCAGCCGTGCCACTGGGGACCTCTTACAGACCCTAGGCACCTTGGGGTATCGCGCTACTGCAAAGAAGGCGCAAATAGCTCAGCAAGAGGTCACCTATTTGGGGTATAAGATCAGGCAGGGGCAAAGGTGGCTAATCCAAGCCATGAAGGAAACAATATTGCAGATACCAGAGCCCAAGAACCCCCGCCAGGTGCGAGTTTCTGGGGACTGTTGGATATTGCAGACTGTGGATCATGGGGTTTGCTGAGAAGGCCCGGCCCTTGTATGAGGGAAGTAAAGAGACCCCAAACTGGACTTGGACTGAACCAATGAAACAGGCTTTCCAGACACTCAGACGGGCCCTACTAGAAGCCCCAGCCCTTGCCCTGCCTAACCCAAATAAGCCATTCCAGCTGTTGGTAGATGAAAAGCAAGGAATAGGAAAGGGGGTCTTGACGCAACAATGGGGACCATGGAAGCGGCCAGTGGCATACCTTTCGAAGCGATTGGACCCAGTGGCCGCTGGGTGGCCCCCTTGCCTTCGCATCGTCGCAGCCACTGCCCTCCTCGTCCGCAACGCTGACAAGTTGACGTATGGACAGCAACTCTTGGTTTACACCCCCCACGCCGTTGTAAGGGTTTTGAAGCAGCCGCCGGGTAAGTGGATCTCCAATGCCCGCTTGACACATTACCAGGCCTTGCTGCTGGATGCCCCACTTGTGCGTTTTCAGACCCCTTGCTTCCTGAATCCGGCCACGCTCCTACCTAACCCAGAAAAAGACCGCCCTCTCCATGATTGCAGTGAAATACTGGCTGAAGCCCTGGCGGCACGAAAAGACTTAACTGATATACCCCTAGACAACAGTGAGCTCGTATGGTTCACCGATGGGAGCAGCTATGTAAAAGATGGGCAAAGGAAGGCGGGAGCCGCCATAGTTGATGATTCAGGACAGACGATATGGGCTGAGACACTTCCCACAAACACTTCTGCGCAAAAAGCAGAATTGATTGCCCTAATACAGGCTCTGGAGCAAGCCAAAGGGAAGAGAGTCACCATTTTTACTGACAGCCGATATGCTTTCAGCACTGCCCATATTCAAGGTCCAATATACCAAGAAAGGGGATTTCGGACAGCTGAGGGAAAAGAAGTCAAAAATCTGCCCGAGATTCGCAGGCTCCTGGAAGCTGCCCAACTGCCTGGGCAGTAGCAATGGTACATGTACCCGGTCACCAGAAAGGAGAAGACCCTAAGGCACGGGGCAATCGTGCCGCTGATGCGGCCCCTCGAGAAGCGGCTAGCCCGGACTACGCCGCCCCCATATTAGCCGTGGGACTCCCACCTTCTGGTATGGGGACCTTGCCACCAGTTTCCGAATATTCCCTCTCTGATCTCGCCTGGATCAACGAGGACACCACCCTTCAGAAAGATGACAAAGATGGATGGTACTGAGATCAAAACAACCTGATATTGCCTGCCATCCTGGGTCGTCACCTGTGTGAACACCTACACACAACTACACACTTGGGAGAGAAAAAGACCCTAACACTTCTCCAGACTGCCTGCCTGAGGTTCCCTCGACAAAATGCAACTGTACAAGAGATAATTCAGGCTTGCAAAGCGTGCCAGCTAATGAGAGCAGGGAAGAAGCAGCACACAGGAACGAGGTACTGAGGGGAAAAGCCTGGGCAACACTGGGAGATAGATTTCACTGAGGTAAAGCCAGGCAAGTATGGGTATCGCTATCTGTTGGTTCTGGTAGATACCTTCTCGGGGTGGGTGGAAGCCTTCCCTGCTAAGGGAGAGACAGCAGTAGTGGTTGCTAAAAAGATCTTAGAGGAGATAGTGCCTAGGTACGGGCTGCCAGTGACTATGGGCTCTGATAACGGACCTGCCTTTGTGAGCCAGATTGTACAAGGGCTGGCCCAAGCTCTGGGGACAAAATGGAAGTTACATTGTGAATATAATCCCCAGAGCTCATGACAGGTTGAGAAAACGAATCGGACCCTAAAAGAAACTTTGACAAAGTTGGCAGTAGAGACTGGCGGGGACTGGGTGACCCTCCTTCTCTTTGCACTCTTTCGGGCGTGTAACACCCCTTATAAGCTGAATCTTACCCCTTTTGAAATTCTGTATGGAAGACCCCCTCCTGTGTGTCCTATTTTCGAAGGAAAATGCCTGCCACCCCCTACTTTGGGACAATTCCAGCAAACTCTGATGGCATTAAATAAGGTGCATAACCACGTTTGAAAATTGATTCTAGAGATACACGAGGGTCAAAATAAGGGGGTCATCCCCTCATATAATATTGGCCCGAGGGGATTGGGTTTGGGTAAAACGGCACCAATCTAAAGTATTAGAACCTAGATGGAAAGGCCCTTATGTTGTTCTCCTTACCACTCCTACCGCTGTCAAGGTCGATGGGATTGGACCCTGGGTTCACTGCAATCACCTGCGGCAAGCCACACCGGAAGAACAGGAAAAAGCGCGAGCAGAATGAAAGGCGAGTCCTCACCCGTCAAATCCTTTTAAACTAAAACTCGCCCGCCAGGAGGCCTCCTAATTCTCCTGCTGATGGCAGCTGTCATCGACCCAGGAGCGACCAGTCACAACCCCCATCAACCTGCTAAGATCACCTGGAAACTCAACAACGGGTAGACTTATGAGCTGCTCAATGAGACCTCAGGAATCCACCTTCCTAACACCTGGTGGCCAGATCTATATTTTGATCTCAGGAGACTCTTTGGTACTGGGGCAGGGTGGTATGGGGGGCAAGAACACAACTACCATGTGTTACAGAAACGGGCGTTTATTAACACAGACCAGGGATAGTCAGCAGAGGGGTTCTGGGCTTGCCCGGGCAACATAAGAAATAATTGGAAAACCTGTGGTGGCTTGGAAAGCTATTTTTGCAGAGCTTGGAGCTGTGTGACCTCTTGTGACGGACCCCAAAAGTGGGACGTAGGAAATCGGGATTTGATCAAGTTTACCTTCCGAGACCCCAAAAACCAGGTACCTCAGGTACGAGTGCAGTTTAACCAGGAAAGGGCGAAGAAAGAAAACAGGTGGACCTCTGGATTGACTTGGGGATTTCAGCTTCATGTAAATTGGCCTGGTCCCTATCCGGGTGGGTTATTAATCATAAAACAGGTTGTTGAGCCAGTGCAGGTACATAGTTTGGGTCCCAATCTGGTCAAAACATGACAGGGGCACAAGGCGACCCCCAAGCCAACCACCTCCAGACCAAGCTCGCCAAGGACATCTAACATCTCCTCTACCCCGAGCCTCGGAGGCAACCTGACGGAAACCCCTGGCCCTCTGACTGTTATCACTAGGTCAGCAATTCAGGACCCCCTATGGGCCTTAGTGAATGCAGCCTTTACAGACTTAAACCATACCAACCCTAATGCGACCCAATCCTGCTGGCTTTGTTATAATCTTCACCCCCCCTTCTATGAGGCCACAGGCCTCAATGTCTCTTACAACTTGTCTTCAGGCCAGAACCCACCCCAATGCCGATGGGAAGAACGCAAGGTTGGCCTCACAATGAATGAGGTTTGGGGACAGGGACTCTGTTTGGGCACAGTGCTACATGATAAAACTCCCCTTTGTGCCCAGACTATTATTGACCTACGCTTACATGGCAAAAATTGGATTGTGCCAGAGGTTGGGGGTTGGATTTGTTCACATACTGGGCTAACCCCATGTTTAAATGTGAAGGTTTTTAACCAGAGTCAAGAATTCTGTGTCCTGGTTGCTGTAACACCAAAAATCTTATACCACTCTGAAGAGGTTATGTACTCACTTTGGGACCGGGAAATGCTAAGACAAAAGAGAGAGCCAATCAGTGCGATCACCATGGCAACCTTGTTCAGTCTTAGGCTGGCAGGAGCAGGGACAGAAATAGCTTCACTATCTCTGCAAGGCCAAGGGTTTTCCTCCCTACGAGCTGCTATAGATGAAGACATAACTCGCATAGAAGAATCAATCAGCCACTTGGAGCAGTCTCTGACTTCCGTGTCTGAGGTGGTCTTGCAGAATAGGAGAGGATTAGACTTGATTTTTCTCCAACAGGGGTGGGGTCTGCGCGGCTCTGGGAGAAGAATGTTGTTTCTATGCAAACCATACAGGAGTGGTAAGAGAATCTATGGCAAAAGTGAGAGAGGGGCCGGCGCAACGAAAGAGGGAACGGGAGGCCCAGCAGGGATGGTTTGAGTCTTGGTTTCAACGCTCCCCCTGGCTGACCACCTTAGTTTCCACCCTCCTGGGCCCACTTATAGTGCTACTGTTAACACTCACGTTTGGCCCTTGTATTTTAAACCGGCTAGTGTCATTTATTAAAGAACATCTAAACACCATTCAGATTATGGTACTGAGGCAACAATATCAGCCAGTGGCCCCAGGATGGTGAAGAGAAAGATTCCTCTACAGGGACAACAAGACAGGGGGGAATGTGAGACTGACAGGACTAGCGCCATGACAGGCGACCCAGACTAGGAGTAGGCCTAAGTTTCGGTTTCCCCCGAAATGGTAAGATTCCCTACCCCCATCAGGCGCCAATCAACATGCGCCCAGTAAGAAAAAGGGAACCTATCAGGGGAAAGCTGAAAAGCCCGCGAACGCCTAAGTTTGAAAAAAGCCCGCGAAAGTTTGGACCAATAAAATTGCTTTGCAGGAGAAGGAAATGGCAACCCACTCCAGTATTCTTGCCTGAAGAATCCTATGGAGAGAAGCCTGGTGGGCTCCCGCCTATGGGGTCACAAGAATTAAACACGACTGAGCAACTAAATCACCATAATGTTCAAGACTAGCACAGACTGGGGGCTCAGATGGTGAAGAATCTGCCTGCAATGCAGAACTGGGTTTCGTCCCTGGGCCAGGAAGACCCTTTAGAGAAGGGAATGGCTACCCACTCCAGTATTCTTGCCTGGAAATTCCATGGACAAAGGATCCTGGCGGCCAGAGGATCCTGATGGCTACAGTCCACAGAGTCTCAAAGAATCGGATGTGACTGAGCAGCTAACACATACACACAGCACAGACTAGGAGAAATTTTTGTGAGTAACACAGAGGCAAACTACTACAGTCTAGAATATACCAAGGACCACTGCAAATCATGAGAAAAAAGGTAAATGAATCAATGGAAGACAGGCAAAGGAACACAGGGCAGTGTGTAGAAGAGGAAAATACGAGCCAATATACCTGTGATATGGTGCTTAACACCCCCATTATTAAGATGATGCAGATTGTAACTAAGGACATCATTTTATAACCACTGATGAACAAACATTTCAAAATTTATGAGGATATGGGGAAACAGGGACTGTCATACATTGCTGGTGGGATGTAAATTGGTACCCCTCCTTTGAAGAGAAATTGATAATATCCATTAAAATGAAGGACAATTATAACATGAGTTGATGAAAATCTACTGAAGTTTGTACTTTATAGCCATGGTTAATTCCAGAGTGGGAGACAGGGACATGTAAGAAGGAGGTGTATTGCCTCAGAGGAATTTAAACATTTTACATGGTTAAAAAAAATCTGAAGCAAATGGAGAAAAATATACCATTATTTAAAATATGTTAGGGGTAAAAAAAATAATGTACTTTTGTATTATACTTTCCTATATGATTGAAATATTTTGTAATTTATTTATTTAAAAGTTTGAATGGGGAGACTTGAGGACAGGAATGAAAGTTTTCAGGACTTTGATAAGTAGCTCTTCCTGGAACCTATATACACATTGCTCACATCCTTACTTATTTTATATTTTTATTCAAACACTAACTTCTCATCCAGGCTTTCCCTGGTCTTTGACATTTTCTAACTCTTTTTTATTTATTTTGATGTTGAACACATTACTATTTAACATGCTATATGTTATCTGTATCTACTTGTATTTTTACTATTTATATTGTATCAATGTATTTGTATTGTTTGTAGCATTAATTTGTATTATTTCTATTTATCCCTCTTTCCTGCCAGAAAATAAACTTTCCATGGTAGGGGGGAAAAAAATTGCTTTGCAAACATGTAACCAATTCGCTTAAGCCAGCTACCGCTTATGCTCACCCTATAAATTTGTGTAACAGCTTGGGCTCCGGGGTCTCTGACCCTGCACCACTGCGTTGGATGCGGCAGGAGCCCTGACTCGAGTCAGCAATAAATTTCCCTTTTTGCCAGTTGCATTGTCTTGGAGGCTTTCTCTCTTCCCGCTCGGGGATTCGGACATCGGGCATAACAGGGCAATAGACTCACCTACCTGCAGCTGCCCTCCCAGTTGATACGCCGCTAAGCTCTCTCCCCCATTTTACCAATAGAGAAACTGAGGCCGCTCCCCGCCCCCCGATCCCATTTATAAATGAGTCCTGAAGTGAGGGTCAAGGGTCCTGGGTCCATTCCCTGTCCTTCCGGCGGCCTCAGTTTCTCTGTGTGTACGATGATGAAGTAGGCCAGGCTGGACTCCAAGCAAGGGACATGATCAATAATAGCTGCTTCTAGAAGCGCCCCTGCTTCTTACTCAAACAGTACGTGAGGGGTGAGTAGAGCTGGAGCCCCCTATCAGCTGGGTGACTCGCCTCTCTGGTGGCCTGGGATAGCCCTTCTTTCAGACAGCAGTATAAAATACTCCTAGCAATCATTGTTGGAGGAGAGCGGAGGGAAAGGGAATCCTTGCCTGGGTTAAGGATGAGGCTGGGGGAGGGGACCTGGAAGCTCCCCCAGGAGGGCTTAGGGCGGAGCCTGGTAATGAAAGAGTTAAGCCTACGCTCCGCCCCCTGCAGGACAAATTCACCGCCTTGGGGACGCCAGCTGCTGCTTTGGAGGAAGCGACAGATCCCGCGCAACCAATCAGATGTGAGGAAGGATTCAGGCAGGTCTCCCATTGGCTTACTCCACCCCTCCGGAGAATAGAGCCCCTTGAATAAGCACCTACAATTTTCTTGGCTCAAAGCAGAGCTTCCGAGAATGCTGAGCAATGAAATAGATGATGAAGTTCAGAGAGGGGCAGGGAGTTGCCCGCAACCACACAGTACGTCCTCAGCTTGACCCCTCCGTTCTGTCTGCTGTCCATTTCCACCATGGCCTTCTGGACACAGCTGATGCTGCTGCTTTGGAAGAATTTCCTGTATCGCAAGAGGCAGCCGGTAATGTCCGGTTGGGTGGGCCGGGGATGGGGCGGCCCACGGCCCTCCATAGGCCGCCACTCCCCAAGCCTATTCTGCCCCCGCAGATCCAACTCTTGGTGGAGTTGTTGTGGCCGCTCTTTCTCTTCTTCATCCTGGTGGCCGTTCGCCATTCCCATCCCCCACTCGAGCAGCATGAATGTAAGACCCCCAGCGTCCAGAGCTTTGGGGTTAGGATTAGCAGTGGTCACTCTATGCACAGGGGCCCCAGTGAGAACCCGGAGCACAGACCGGACGCTCGAATAATAGCTGAGAGGGGCACTCTGTCACCGGGGGTGGGAACTCAGCCAAGAACCCCACACCTGGTGTCCCTGCAGGTCATTTTCCCAACAAGCCGCTGCCTTCAGCGGGCACTATCCCTTGGCTCCAGGGCCTCATCTGCAACGTGAACAACACCTGCTTCCCGTGGCAAACCCCCGGCGAGGAGCCTGGCATCCTCAGCAACTTCAAGGACTCCCTGTAAACCAGTGGGAGCCGCTGGGCAGGGGTGGGCAGCTTCGCCTAGCCTCCGCCTCCAGCTTTCTCTCTGTATCCAGGGTTTCCCGGCTCTTGGCAGATGCTCGCACTGTCCTGGGGGGCCCCAGTGCCCATAGGATGCTGGCTAGCCTGAGAAAACTGATGCCCATTCTGAAGGCTGCACGCACAGCGCGAGCAAGTGAGAAGGCGGGACTGTGGCAGGTAGGGCTGGGCTCTGCGCCTCCACCTGATGACGCAGCTTGGAGTGGGACAAGTGGGACATGGCTCCAGCTAACCTTGGCCTCACCCTGGGCTTCTGTGCTTTACTCCCTCGGCCTTTCCTTGGCCCAGTGACCAGCCCAAGGAGGGATTATCCTGGCCACTCAGCTGCTGGGGACACTGCTGCAAGGGGTGAGGTGGGGACAGGGCAAGATCTGGGACCCTGATCTCACTGAATCCCACCCTGCCCCTTTCGGGTGCCAGCTTCCAGGCCTTTGACTGGGCCTTCCCTGATACCTGGAGTGATATTCCTTAGACTTTAGTCCTGAGACCTTGAACAAGCTCAGGTGCCTCTCAGAGCCTTAGTTTCACTGTAAAATGAGGCTATGATAGCATGGACCCCCTGGGAACTTGGATCCCGAGTGAGACGACCGCAAACCTCATTGTCACCTTGTCATCTTTCTCCCCAGGAGTCTCTGGGCTCTGTGCTGGGCCAGGCCCAGGAGTCCATGGGCAGCCTTGTGGAGACTGCAGAGGACATGGCCCAGGAGGTAAGAGGCCAGTGTAGTCTCCGCCCCTGCCAGGAAACTAGAGGGGTGGGCTGCAGAAAGAGGAGAGGACAGAGCAACCCTGGGCACCTGTCCTCAGTAGTTGTGTGGGAGTGCTGGGGCAGAAAGAGAGGGCAAGGGTGCTCCTGGTGGAGGGCCTTGCCCTGGTTATAGCTTGGTGGTGGGGTCACGCAGAGGGAAGCCTGCCCAGCCCTCTGGTGACCCCCTCCTCCAGCTCCTGGAGCTGCCCAGCCTGGGGGAGCTGTGGGCCCTGCTACAGAGACCCCACAGGCCAGGTGGTCCCCTGGAGGCGGTGGCAGAAGCCCTTTGCAGTGCCAGGGGGCCCAGCAAACCAGGTGGGCCCTCCCTCAACTGGTATGAGGCCAGTGACCTGAAGGAGCTTGTGGGGCAGGAGCCAGCGCAGGCCCTGTGGGACAACAGCCTGAGTGAGTGACCAACTTGGTTTCCACCCCTCTCCCTGGGGAAGCGGGGCCAGAACGTGGGCACAGGGCCTCATGGTGCCCCCACCCTGGTCCTAGGCCCCACCTGCGCTGAGCTGACGGGGGCCCTGGACACCCACCCCCTATCCCGCCTGCTGTGGAGGCGCCTGAAGCCACTGGTCCTGGGGAAAGTACTGTTCACGCCTGACACACCCTTCACCCGGCAGATCATGGCCCAGGTGACAGTGCGAGGGGCCCTCAGTCCCAGCCTCAGCCGAGGGGGAGAGCCAGGCCACAGGAGAGCCCTGAGTCCCAAGACTGGCTGCCCCTGGGCTGGGTCCAGGAAGCAGGGTTTGAAGTGGAGGGATTGCCAGATTTCAGGCAGTGCTCAGAGGTGCAGGATGGAGCAGAGGGGAGAAGGCAAGAGGGGTGGGCAGGGGCTTCACTGGAAGGAAGGGTCATAAATGGCTGAGGCTGGTGTGGACCTCAGCACCCACCTCTTGCAGGTCAACCGAACTTTCCAGGAGCTGGCGCTGTTGAAGGACATCCAGGAGGTGTGGGGGCTGCTGGGACCCCAGCTCTTTAACTTCCTGAACGATAGTGCCAATATCGCCATGCTGCAGGTGGGGCCAGGACGGGAGTGGGAGAGGGGTACTGGGGGTGGGGATATGTGGCAGCTGGGTCACCCCTGCTAAGGATTTGGGCGAAAGGGCAGGAACTTCCAGGCGAGGGTGTGGAGGTGGGGAGTGGTATCCAAGGTGAGCTCAGGCCGCTCACTGGGATGGGAAGAGGTGACAGGCCCTGAACGTCCGATGCAGACCCCCACCTTCCCTGACACCCCTACAGAGGCTCCTGCAGATCCAGGACAAGGGAAGGAGGCAGCCAAGACTCGGAGGTGGGGCCAGAGTGGAAGCTCTTCATGCCTTTCTGAATCCCCGCAGCGGTGGCTACAGCTGGCAGAAGGCCCACGCTGATGTGGGACACCTGGCGGTCACACTGGGCCGTGTGATGGAGGTGAGGGACCGTCCACCTGGGGAAACGTCTCCGAGTGGAGAGGCAGCCCTGCTGAGGGCCTGCTAGGAGGAAGCGCGGCTCCGCCTTTAGGTCCAGGGGAGGAGCCTGGGGCCTCGAACTCACGCCCAGGCCCCTCCGCAGTGCGTGACTCTGGACAGGCTGGAGGCCGCCCCTTCAGAGGCTGCCCTGGTGGAGCGGGCCCTGAAGCTGCTCTCCGAGCACCGTTTCTGGGCCGGCATCGTTTTTCTGGGGCCTGAGGACTCCCCGGACCCCGCTCAGTCCCCAGGCCCTGGCCACGTGCGCATCAAGATCCGCATGGATATCGATGATGTCACAAGAACCAATAAGATCAAGGACAGGTGGGGGGGCCTTGTGGGGCGGAACCAGAGGGGGTTGCTAGAGAGCATCCCACCTATCAGAGATCTTGGTGGGTGGGGCCCAAATCCTTAGACCAATAGGGATCCATGATGGGCGGGGTTTATGGTGTGATGGGCACAGCCAAGGGCTTGGTGGGCGGGGTCAATGCCTTGGTTTCTGGGATAAGATTAAAGCAATTGGCAGGTGGATCTAGATAGTTTGTACACAGATGAGGGCGGAGCTGAAGTTGTGATGGGCAGGTCCCAGCTACTCCCATACTGCTTTCAGGTTTTGGGACCCCGGTCCGGCCGCTGACCCCCTGACGGACCTGCGCTACGTGTGGGGTGGCTTCGTGTACCTGCAGGACCTGCTGGAGCGCGCAGCTGTGCGCGTGCTCACAGGGACCACCCCCCATGCCGGCCTCTACCTCCAGCAGATGCCCTACCCCTGCTACGTGGACGATGCGTGAGCACCCTTTCCTCACTTCTCTCAGATGCCAGATCCCGGGTCTCAGGGTGGGGGCCTGGGTGCCATCTGGAATATTCACGCAGTCAAAGCTGAGAACTACAGTTCAGAAGGACCACTCCCCGTGACCTTGTAGCTGGAGGAGCCGGGATCCCTCAGGGTCTGGGGTCCCTGGATACAGGGAGAACGTAATCTGACAGCACCATCAGGAGTCCGAGGACAAGGGAGGGCGAATGTCCTCGGCTCACCTTGGGGTCCCAGGGCGGGAACTGTCGTGCCAGATGGGGGCAGCGCAGGGGTGTCTGGCGTCCACTGCAGCTGCCCACTGCCCCAGGTTCCTGCGCTTGCTGAGCCGGTCACTGCCACTCTTCCTGACACTGGCTTGGATCTACTCGGTGGCGTTGACGGTGAAGGCCGTGGTGCGTGAGAAGGAGACTCGGCTGCGCTACACGATGCGCGCCATGGGGCTCAGCGCCACTGCACTGTGGCTGGGCTGGTTCCTCAGCTGCCTCGGGCCCTTCCTCCTCAGCACCGCGCTGCTTGTGCTGGTGCTCAAGGTGCGTGCACCCCCCGCCTTGCCTACTCGGGATGGGTGCGTGTGTACGGGGAGGTAACAGGCAGGAGGCGCCTCGCGGGGTTGCGTGTCCCTGGGCGAATCCGCGAGCTCCCTCCAGCTCCCCTGTCCTTCTGCAGCTCGGGGACATCCTCCCCTACAGCCACCCGGGGGTGCTGTTCCTGTTCTTGGCGGCTTTCGCTGTGGCCACGGTGGTCCAAAGTTTCTTGCTGAGCGCATTCTTCTCCCGAGCGAACTTGGCAGCCGCCTGCGGGGGTCTTGCCTATTTCGTACTCTATCTGCCCTACGTGCTGTGCGTGGCCTGGAGGGACCAGCTGCCCGTGGGCGGCCGCGTGGCCGCGGTGAGAGCCGGGCCGTGTGGGTGAGGGGTGCAGGGCACCCTCAGCTGCACTTGTTTGCTGACCTACCCACCTACCTACCCGCCCCCACCCATAGAGCCTTCTGTCGCCCGTGGCCTTTGGTTTTGGCTGCGAGAGCCTGGCGCTGCTGGAGGAGCAGGGCGAGGGTGCGCAGTGGCACAACATGGGCACCGGGCCTACAGCAGATGTCTTCAGCTTGGCCCAGGTCTCGGGCCTTCTGCTGCTCGATGCCGCTCTCTATGGCCTCGCCACTTGGTACCTGGAGGCGGTGTGCCCAGGTGGGCCATAGGAGGCGCAGGGGAGACTGGGCTGAGGGCGGGCACGGGATGGGGTGGGGCTGAGGGGGCCTGGAATACAGGTGAAAGGGTGGGTCTTCCTGGCACCTGCGCACATGTGCGCTGGTGGCTGCGTTTGAGGGAAGGCCTGGGGCAGGCGGGTGGGCGGGGCTTCCCGGTTATCACTTACCTGGATCCCCGCATCCCCAGTGGGCTCCAGGGGGAGCGCCTCAGGGGTAACTGAGCACCACTCCCCACAGGCGAGTACGGGATTCCCGAACCATGGAACTTTCCCTTTCGGAGGAGCTACTGGTTTGGGTCTCAGACCCCCAAGGGTCCTGCCCCAATCCTGGCTGTGCAGGACCCCAAGGGTAAGGCCCAACAAACAGCTGTCACTTCCCTGTCTGGATTCTCAGCCCCCACAAAACCCAGGTCCCCATGGATTCCAATCCTCTGCATATTCCCAGGTCCTGAGGCTCCCCTAACTCCCACAGACCCCAGCCCCATAAGTCCCTGACTCCACAGACCAGCTTGAATGGTCCCCAGGCTTCTGAGGGTGCCCAAAACTGAGGCTGCCCTCCTTCCTCAGTGCTGGTGGAGGAGGCACCCCCTGGCCTGATTCCGGGGGTCTCCATACGCGGCCTGGAAAAGCGCTTTCCTGGCAACCCGCAGCCAGCGCTGTGCGGACTCAGCCTGGACTTCTACCAGGGCCACATCACCGCCTTCCTGGGCCACAATGGGGCTGGCAAAACGACCACAATGTGAGCAGCCATCACTCCTCTCCCCCCACAGCTCCCCTCCCCCCCAGCTCCTCTTCTTGGGTCTCAACTTGCACACTTGTTCAAGCGGAAGGACATCTGGGGTCAGAAGGTACCTATTTGTACAGTGAGGGGGGACCCTGATGCCCCCCCAGCCCCAGTTCCCTTTGGACCTCCCCCTTAGTTCACTTTGGATCCACAATAGGCAGGTGATGAATATTTTCTCTGAGCTTCGTCTTCCCTCCCCTGTAAAATGGGAACATAATACCCCTTTGGTCTGGGCATACAGTAGGTGCCCTTAAGTGCTGGGAGCCTCAGCTTCCCCTCTGAAGCTGCCCTGAGACCCCTGCTCCTGCAGGTCCATCCTGAGTGGCCTCTTTCCACCCACGGCTGGCTCCGCCTCTGTCCTGGGCCACGACGTCCGGACCAGCATGGCAGCCATCCGGCCCTGCCTGGGTGTCTGCCCGCAGTACAACATACTCTTTGACCTGTGCGTCTCCATGGGCCTGGGGTGTGGCAGTGGGAGTGCTGGGTGCTCTCTGTGGCCTTGCCTGCCATGGTAACCCCCCCACTGTCTTTTGTACATGGCCTCAGGCTGACTGTGGATGAGCACGTCTGGTTCTATGGGCGGTTGAAGGGTCTGAGCGCAGCTGCCATGGGTCCCGAGCAGGACCGGCTGCTGCAGGACATGGGGCTGATCCCCAAGAGGCATGCACAGACTCATCACCTGTCAGGTGAGCCCGGACTGGGGGGAGCCTCCAGGTCTGCAGAGATGAGGCTGGGGAGCTGGTGCTGGGACTTTATATTGAGGACTGTGGAATGCCAGAGGAGATGGGCAGACCTGGGGACCCAGGAGGAATCAGGCACTGTGTTCCAGGTGGGTAGGGAAAGGTGCAGGGAGAAGGACTGCAGCCCTGCCCAAGACTGTGGAGATCTTGACCCCTGTCCCAACCCAGGCGGGATGCAGCGGAAGCTCTCAGTAGCCATTGCCTTTGTGGGTGGCTCCCAAGTTGTTATCCTGGATGAGCCCACAGCTGGTGTAGACCCCACTTCCCGTCGAGGCATCTGGGAGCTGCTGCTCAAATATCGGGAAGGTAAGAACTGAAAGTGACCTGAGATTTCCCTGGATGCTGCTTGAGAGGCCAGAAGATCTTTCTGACAGAGGTGATGGAAGATGGGGTTTTGAGGGATAAGTAGGAGTTTACTGCACGAGGCAGGGGCCACAGCTTGGGCAGCCTGATAACATGTGTGGGTTGGGTCCCCTGCCTAGGTCGCACACTGATCCTCTCCACCCACCACCTGGATGAGGCGGAGCTGCTGGGAGACAGGGTGGCGATAGTGGCAGGGGGCCGCCTGTGCTGCTGTGGCTCTCCTCTCTTCCTGCGGCGTCACTTGGGCTCCGGATACTACTTGACATTGGCCAAGGGTCCCCCACCCCTGGCCACCAGCAAAAAGGTGAGGGCTGGAACAGACCTCCGACCCCAGTTCTTAAGACTCCATCCAGCCCCGATGGCCATGGCAGCTGGTGCCCCTCTGCCTCCAGGGTGAAACTGGCTTGAAGAACAGCATGGATGCTGGGCAGAAAAGGGAGCCAGGAGGCCAGGCCAGCTCTGCCGGTGAGGGCGGGTGTGGGAAAGCCTGAGTGAGGGGCTGTGGATGGGGCTGTGAGAGCCAGAGGGAGGGGCCAGTGGGGGGCAGTGACTTGGTTCAGGGCAACAGGCCTGATAACCCCAAGCTTGACCCCTGACCTGACCCCTGAGTTGAGCTGACACACAAACCTACCTCTGACCCTGACCCCAGGTCAAGTCCTGCCCTTGGGTGCTTAATCCTGACTTCCTTTGCCCTCAGGGACTGATCCCTTGTGGGTCACCCAAGCCCCTTCCCCAAGGGGGTAGAGCAGGAGCCAGGGCAACATGGGACCCCAGGGCCCCTGACGTGCCTGCTGCCCACCCAGGTGCAGCCCAGCTGTGGGCCATAGTGCAGCGCCAAGTGCCCGGCACACGACTGGTCAAGGATCTGCCACATGAACTGGTGCTGGCATTGCCCTACAAGGGCGCCCTGGATGGCAGCTTCGCTGAGCTCTTCCATGATCTGGACCAGCGGCTGGGGGAGCTGGGACTGGCTGGCTATGGGATCTCCGACACTAGCCTGGAGGAGGTGTGGCTGCTGGATGAGGGGGGCGGCAGGAGGAGGGCTTCCTGGAGGAGGTGGTGCCTGGAAGGATGAAGAAGTCTGCCTGTGGACAGCTGGGCATCCCAGGGAGGAGACAGGGGCCACACGGAGGCTTGGAGGCCCTCAGGGAGGCTTGGGGACCCCCAGTGTTTGAGGGATATGTGGCCCTTGAGTCCCCCTCCCTTTGTGTGTCCCCAGGCTCTGTCTGAGCCCCCTGCTTTGTCTTCCCAGATCTTCCTGAAGGTGGTGGAAGATTGTGCTGTGGACACAGGCCCAGAGGGTATGCCTGTAGGCCCCTGTCCTGACCCCTCACCCCGGTCCAGAGTCCGACCTGACTTTAGACCAAGTCCCCACTCTTGGCTAACATGGCCCAACCTACAGCCCTGACCTCCACCCTGATTCCTGACCCCTTTTTTGTGAGCCTTGACACTGGCCCAGACCCCAGGCCAAACACTAAGCCTGACCCCAACTCTGGTGACTCTGCAGATGGTAGGCCCAGGCAAGGTTCGTGCTTGGGTATTTCTCATCCCAACGCGACTAGGCAGCTCCAAGTTCCTCCAGAGGAGACAGCCCTGGAGAATGGGGGGCTGGGTGAGTTGTCCCTGCCCCACCCTGTGGCCCCTCCTGGTCCCCAGGGCCAAGCACTGACCCTCCCATCCCCCACAGCTGGCTCTGCCCCTGAGACACAGGCACTACAGGGCTCTGGGCCGGCCACCGCAGGCCGCGTACACAGCTGGGCGCTCACTTGTCAGCAGCTCCGGGCCTTACTTCTCAAGCGTTTCCTGCTTGCCCGCCGCAGCCGCCGTGGCCTGTTTGCCCAGGTGAGGGGCCACCTACTGGGGGGGGGGGGAAGCCCCTCAGCATCTGTTTTCCACTCTACAACCTAATTCAGCCCCGTAAGCCCAGGTGTATGCCTCACTCTGAACATGTTTATTGAGAGCACTGGGGAGCCATGGATGGTTCTAGAGCAGGATCAGGGAAGGGTGCAGGTGAGCCTGGCGGCCGACAGGCGGGGAGCTGATGGGCTGGCCCTTCAGATTGTGCTGCCTGCCCTCTTTGTGGGCCTGGCACTGGTGTTCAGCCTCATTGCACCCCCGTTTGGATACTACCCGGCTCTGCGGCTGAGCCCCAGCATGTACGGCTCCCAGGTGTCCTTCTTCAGGTGGGTGCAGAGGAGAGGGGCCTGGTGGGGGGGGGGCCCAGGGCCTGTGGGCACAGCCCTGACCCTGCACCCACTACACACAGCGATGACACTCCAGGGGACCCTGAACACTCCCGCCTGGTCGAGGCCCTGCTGGAGGAGGCCGGACTGGAGGAGGCTTACCCGAAAAGTAACTCCAGCAGGTGAGGGTCCTCCAGTCTGGGCCTGGCTCCTCTCTGGCCTCGGTTTCCTTGTCTGGGCTCTGGAGCATCCCCCATGCCTGGTTGGGAGCAGGGCGCCTCCAGTCCTACCCCCACCCTGCTCCTACCCCCACAGGGCACCAGCATGCACACGGCCTGCCCTCTGCCACTTCTCGGTGCCTGAGGTCCCTGCAGACGTGGCTGAAGTCTTGGCCAGTGGCAACTGGACCCTGGAGTCTCCATCCCCCGCCTGCCAGTGCAGCCAGCCTGGTGCCCACCGCCTGCTGCCTGACTGCCCTGCTGCAGCCGGTGGCCCCCCGCCACCCCAGGCACCAACCAGCTCTGGTGAAGTGGTCCAGAACCTAACGGGCCGGAACCTATCTGACTTCCTGGTCAAGACCTACCCGCGCCTGGTGCGCCAAGGGTGAGCACCACCCTGGATTTGACTTGGCCAGCTGTAGCAGGGGTCCAGTGGGGAGGACGTGGTCCAGTCTTGGGAGGGGTTGCGGGGGATGCCCAGGCTGGGGCTCTGGGCTGGGGCATCCTGGGGGCCATCTGTGCCTCCCCCTTTTTATTTGTCTCACTCAACTCCCCAGTATCTTTGTCTCTGTCCCACTCACCTCTCTGTCTGTGTCTCTCTGTCTCACAGCCTGAAGACCAAGAAATGGGTGAACGAGGTCAGGTGAGGAGGGTCCCTTGCATGGGTTCCTTTCCTGTGCCCTCTGCCTGCCTGCCGCCCCATCCTCCTGACCCTCAGCTGTCTCCCACCTCTGCTGCCCCTCAGGTATGGGGGCTTCTCCCTTGGGGGCCAAGACCCAGGCCTGCCCTCGGGCTTGGAGGTGGGCCGCTCTGTGGAGGAGCTGCGGGCACTGCTGAACCCCACACCAGGCGAGGCCCTCGACTACCTCCTGAATAACCTCACAGCATGGGCTGTTGGTCTGGACACTCAGGATGGCCTCAAGGTGGTAACTGGCGGTGGCCGGCTGGTGCTGTGGTGGGGGAGGTCTGATGCCAGGTCACTGACCCCTTGGCCCCAATTCCATCACAGATCTGGTTTAACAACAAGGGCTGGCACGCCATGGTGGCCTTTGTAAACCGAGCCTACAACGCTCTCCTACACGCCCACCTGCCACCAGGCCTCTCCCACCATGCCCACAGCATCACCACGCTCAATCACCCCCTGAACCTCACCAAGGAGCAGTTGTCTGAGGCTGCGCTGTGAGTCCCCTGACCCCGTGTATCCCCCCGCCTTGTGAGTTGCCCCACCTTGTGTGCCACTCCGCCTTGTGTGATCCCCTGTTCCATGTATCCCCCCACCCCGGTTGGTCTCTCTGTTGTCTCTGGTGGTGGGAGCTGAAGTTACGCTCTGCCACACTCTTGCTGTGTAAACAGAGAACTAGAACTTCCCCTCTCCACCCCTTAGGCCAGGGTAATAGGGCATCATCAGGCTTCATGGGCTGCAGTCTCCCCCAGCTGCCTGCACGTTTTTGTCACATCAACATCTATCCTACTAGAGACCTGGACGATCTCTCCCTGCCTAACAGTTTGAAATGGCTCAGGACATCCCCCACCAGCCGTGTCCAGCCCCGGGGACCTCAATCCCATCAATGATGAGCACAGTGATGAGCAGCTCATGCCCCTTCACCCCCAGGATGGCCTCCTCAGTGGACGTGCTTGTCTCCATCTGCGTGGTCTTCGCCATGTCCTTTGTCCCGGCCAGCTTCATCCTTGTCCTCATTGACGAGCGTGTCACCCGAGCCAAACACCTGCAGTGCATGGGAGGCCTGCCCCCCACTCTCTACTGGCTTGGCAACTTTCTCTGGGACATGGTGCGCAGATCACCTGGAGGGGTGGGGGCCCTGCCACCACTTGCCACTGCCTCTTCTGGCCCTTTATGGTCAAGAACTTGTCTAGGATGTCACCACTGAAGTCTTGGGGATAATGCAGACCTCGTCCTATTATCCAAAGCCCAGGGAGGTTGGGGTGGTACACAATGCCAAGGATGGCTGTGGGCTTCCCTGGTAGCTCAGCATACTGAGGGTGTAACCACCATCTCCAATGCAGTGTAACTACTTGGTGTCAGCGTGCATCGTGGTGCTCATCTTTTTGGCCTTCCAGCAGAGGGCATATGTGGCCCCTGCCAACCTGCCTGCCCTCCTGCTGTTGCTACTACTGTACGGGTGAGGTTCCCAGCCCCTCCAGGACTTGTTCTTACTGACCCCCTCGACTCCGTTGAGGGAGCTGGGACTCTATAGCAGCTTCTAAGGAGAGGATATGGAGATCTGAGAGGACCCCAAGTGTGATCTTATTCAGGGGTATGCCAAGGAGGCCTTAAAAGCTCATCTTGACCTGACCATGTTACAGAGGTCTACAACACAGTTTGGGAATGGGAGATCTATATTCTTCTCAGGGCTGCTCAGCCTGTCTGGCAATAACAGTGGCTCCTGTTCCCCTCAGCTGGTCGATCACGCCACTCATGTACCCAGCCTCCTTCTTCTTCTCCGTGCCCAGCACAGCCTATGTTGTGCTCACCTGCATCAATCTCTTTATTGGTATCAATGGCAGCATGGCCACCTTCGTGCTTGAGCTCTTCTCTGATCAGGTAGGACCCACAGGGCTGGTCCTTGGGTTGGGGTCAGACTGGGCCTCAACCTCAGTTTCTGACCCACCTCCTTCTTAATCTGCCCCTGAGCAGAAGTTGCAGAAGGTGAGCCGGATCCTGAAACAGGTCTTCCTTATCTTTCCTCACTTCTGCTTGGGTCGGGGCCTCATCGACATGGTGCGGAACCAGGCCATGGCTGATGCCTTTGAGCGCTTGGGTGAGAACTTCTCTCCAGGAGGGGAAGTGCCAGACAAGAGTCAATCCTACAGTGCAGGGACAAACAGCAGCCCCTGTTTGAAGCCCTGTAGGAAGAAAACTTGAGGTTTTAGATGACCTGGAAGGGTGGGTAGGCAAAGTTAAAAGTGCAGCAAAGCAGCCATAAAAGTTAATTCCATCTTGGTCATGTCACAAGAGGTCTAAGGCACTAAATAAAGGAGGTGGCAATGCCACGGTTTTCCACGCCAATTAGACCCCAGTTGAGTGTCTATTCATCTTGGTGCTTTCCCTTAAGAACCCAATGTGACCTGAATGGGGAGAGGCCCAGTAACCAAGACCCTAAAATGACCCTATCCCTCCTCATGTCCACACAGGAGAGGGGCATTTCCAGTCGCCCCTGCGTTGGGAGGTGGTCGGCAAGAACCTCTTGGCCATGTTCATACAGGGGCCAATCTTCCTCCTCTTTACACTACTGCTTCAGCACCACAACCGCCTCCTACCACAGTCAGTGGGGACCAGGGAGGGTGGCAGGGACTGGGGTCTGGCTCTGGGCCCACTCATATCTCTGTCCTCAGACCCAGGCTGAGGCCATTACCCGCCCTGGGAGAGGAGGATGAGGATGTGGCCCGTGAGCGGGAACGGGTAGTACAAGGGGCCACCCAGGGGGATGTGTTGGTACTGAGGGACCTGACCAAGGTGGGTTTGTGGGCCTCCACTGTTGGGTTGGGGGGCCTCCACTGTTGGGCTGGGGGGCTTCCACTGGCCTACCCACCTTTCTCATGGACTTCCATCCTCCCAGGTGTACCCTGGGCAGAGGACGCCAGCTGTTGACCGCCTGTGCCTGGGGATTCCCCCTGGTGAGGTAAGTCCAGGTGGTACAAGGGTGAGCGGCTGTCCTATTGTACACCCACTGGTCTTTACCATGTTTGTGTCTACCTCCCCCTATAGAACACCTACTCTGTGTCTGTCCTAAACTCAGTACCTACTGGCTGTCAATATTTGAGCTCCTATTTATAGCCAACAAATCTCATGAAGCTCCTACTGCATGGTTACATTTATTGATTCCGACTGTGTGCAATAGGATTAACAAGATCTTAGTGAGGATAAATTTATTATTAAGTACCTACTGGGTTCCCATACATGTGCCAGTTACTATGTGCACCTACTATATGTTAGCATTTATTGAGTACCAACTGTATAGAGTAAAGCTTGTTGAACCCCCCCACCATTGTGTGTACCAAAAGTGTATTGAATGTCACCTTTGTGATGATCAACTTTTATCAAACACCAACATTTATTGAGTCCATATTGTATATGTATCAAGCACTTGCTCACAACCAATATTTAGTAGGCACCTGCTCTGTACCAATGCACATTCAAGCAACTACTTTGTGCAAACTTGTCTGCTGTGGTCCATTTCCTGGCCACCTACTAGGGGCTGGCACACACCTGTGGACACTTGTGGTGTGTTGGTATAAACTGCCATCACTCTTTAGCAAATGCCTACTGTGTTCAGTCAACCTCTCCATCTTGAGTTGACTGTGTGCCCAGTATGAATTCTCACCAGGTGCTCTTGCTGTTGGTACCCACTAGCGTGGCATGAAACATTCAGCCAGCTCCTGCCTCAATATTTATGAAGCACTGACTGTGAGTGACCTTTATAGAACATCTACTGTGTCCATTGATTAAACACATGCTGTGTGTCATCTAGCATTTCTGCTATGTGACAGCTTGTGCCTACTCACATACCCCAGTATCTGCCCAGGGATCCCCTTGCCCACAGCCCTCCCAGTGGAAGCTGAGAAACCCGTCTCAGAAGTCAGAAATGCTGGGACAAGTGTCCAGGCTTCTATGAGTGCCCTCTGTGGGTGTACCTGCAGTGTTTCGGGCTGCTGGGCGTGAACGGAGCAGGGAAAACGTCCACATTCCGCATGGTGACTGGGGACACTCTGCCCAGTGGGGGCGAGGCCATTCTGGAAGGCCACAGGTGAGGGGCTCCTGGGCTCTTGTTCCTCCCCACCTCCCCCTGCTCTCGCATGTATGGACAGGATTGCCTGGCCTTGAGTCCCCCTGCAAGTGGACCCGGCCCTGAGTTACCTCCTGTCCCTTACCAGGGTGGGTGGGCCCCCTCGCATGGCCAGGGCCCAGCCAGGGCCCTGAGTTCCCTGTCCCCCATCCCGCATCCCCAGCGTGGCCCAGGAACCGGCCGCAGCTCACTGCCGCATGGGCTACTGCCCTCAGTCGGATGCCATCTTCGAGCTGCTGACCGGTCGCGAGCACCTGGAGCTGTATGCACGCCTGCGAGGAGTCCCTGAAGCCCAAGTTGCCCAGGTGACCGCTCTCCCCACTAACCCCTCCGGTCCTCACCCCAGTCTCTCCCTTGGACCACAGTCTCTCTGCTGCTCTCGGTCCCCTGACCGTAGGTCCTCTGGCCCTGCCCCTGCCCTCCCTGAGTGCCTACACACTTATTGGGTCCACCCCACACCCCCAGTCCTCCCACCGTCCTCAGGGGGCACTCTCCACCTCCCTGCTAGGGGCCCGCCCCTTCTCTCCTAGACCTTCCTGGCTATGGCCCCGCCTACTTTCATCTCAGGGTCAGGGCTTCCTTCCTGGTGGCTTCCTGCCACTGGGCCAGGCCCTGCCTCTCTCTTGGTCTGGCCCCGCCTCCAGTCGCAGCCCCGCCCCGTACTCGCTCTGGCCCCACCCTCTTTAGTTACCGTCCCACGTTATCCCTGGGCTTCCCTGGTGGCTCAGTTGGTTAAGAATCCGTCTGCAATGCAGGAGACCGGGGTTCGATCCCTGTGTCAGGAAGATCCCCGGAGAAGGAAATGACATCCCACTGCAGTATTCTTGCCTGGGAAATCCCATGGAGGAGCCTGACGGACTCTAGTCCATGGAGTCAGAAAGAGTCCACCACTGAGCGACTAAACCACCACCATATCCCCTCCTTAGCCCCTCCCACTCACCCTGTACCCTATTCTCACTCTGCCCTTCCCACTCCATCCTGCCATAGACAGCAAGCTACGGCCTGGCACGCCTGGGCCTCCCTCAGTATGCTGACCGACCTGCGGGCACCTACAGCGGTGGCAACAAGCGGAAGCTGGCGACAGCCGTGGCTCTGGTGGGGGACCCAGCTTTAGTCTTTCTGGTATGTGTGTGCAGATGGGAGGACAGAGTGGGGGGAAGTGGCCGCATTTAAGCATCTCCCTGCTCTGTGCCCAGGACGAGCCGACCACTGGCATGGACCCTGGTGCCCGGCGGTTCCTCTGGAACAGTCTTCTGGCTGTGGTGCGGGAGGGCCGCTCCGTGGTACTCACCTCACACAGGTGGGCCTGGGGAACAGAGCAGTCTGGGACTGACAGGAAATGTCCAGAGCACAGGGTGGCCCAGAGCTGCAGGCTGAGGGTCCCTGGGGGGGCAGCCCAGAGCCGAGCACCATGGGTCCAGGCCTGGTCGGAGCTCACGTCACTGGGCTCCCACAGCATGGAGGAGTGCGAGGCACTCTGTACGCGCCTGGCCATCATGGTGAATGGGCGGTTCCGCTGCCTGGGCAGCACACAGCACCTCAAGGGCAGGTGAGTGGGGAAGGCCTCAAGCCCTGGGTGTGGGCAGATCAGGGTGGCGGTGTAGGTAGGCCTGGAGGGGAGATCAGGTGGGGCCAGTTTGAGTTCTAACCAGAGAACAGGCAAGGATCATGAACTGTCCAGGAGAGGGGGCAAGGCTGGACTGAGATGGGGAGGAGGTCTGAGGGGTGAAGGTGTGTCCATGCGTGGAGGCCAAAGAGGGTCCGGCAAGTGGGTATGACCTGGATATTGGTGTGGGGCATGGCATTGTGTGGGCGGGACCAGGGGGCAGCTGGGTTAGAGACTGGATGAGCATGTAGGCGGGGCTAGGAGCAGAGGCTGGGGTCAGGTTGGCCTGGGGTTCTGGAGGAGCCAAGTATAGTGGTGGGGCTAGAAGAGGGCTGGAAGATGGTATGGGCGGATCCATTAGCTATGGTCTACCCCACCCCACCCCACCCCAGATTTGGGGCTGGCCATACACTGACCCTGAGGGTGCCCTTGTCGAGATCCAAGTCGGCGGCTGACTTCGTGGCCCAGGCGTTCCCGGGAGCTGAGCTGCGGGAGGCACATGGTGGCCGCCTGCGCTTCCAGCTGCTGCCAGGAGGGCGCTGCACCTTGGCGCTCGTCTTTGGATTGCTGGCGGCAAGCGGCGCAGAGCATGGTGTGGAGGACTTCTCTGTGAGCCAGACCACACTGGAGGAGGTGACCGCTGCGCCAGGACGGGGCTGGGGGTAAAGATGGGGTTGGGGGTAAAGATGGAGTTGGGGGCTAGGCCCTCAAGCTGACCTTCTCTCCTGTTTCCCTGGGCCATCCACTCCTAGGTATTCTTGTACTTCTCCAAGGATCAGGGCAAAGAGGAAGATGAGAAGGAGACAGAAGTGGGGGCTGACCCTGTGCCAAGCCCACAGCGCCCCAAACTCATAACCCAGTTCCTTGATGACCACGACATGGCTGAGACGGTCCTCTGAGCCTCCTCCTCTATGGAGCTGGGGGGACCAAAGCAGGGCAGAGGGGCTGAAGCCTGACCCAGACTCCAGGGGCCCTGGAGGAAATAAAGGGAAGCTGTGGTGTGAAGCACCATGCACCTGTGTCCCTGTGCCAAGTTGCATATTCATCCCAAAATGGCTCTGTACATGTGCCTGGACACTGGGCTTGGCACAGAGTGTGTGCTGGAGTGAGTGTGTGGATGCAGATGTGAACCTAGCTACAGCTAGCTGGACTCCCAGCTGTGAAAGCTTGTGTGGTGGCTGGGGAGTGTCTCCTGTGCAGGTGCACCCTTCATAAGAGCCTGGACACTGCTCCCAGAGCCCCTGAGTGCTCCTGTAGTTCTGACGCCTGAAGGCGGTACCTGTGAGTGGCTGGATCTGAAGTGGGCATGAAGTCAGGGCTCAGGAATGTCTGGGGCAGCTGGGGGAGCCCAGAAGGGGTGGCCCAGACTTAAGGCCTCCAACCAGGCAGAGGCCCACCAGCTAGCCAGCCCTGCAGCCAGCCCTCATCCCCCGATCCTGGCATCCAGAGCGATGAGTGGTGGACAGAGGATCCTCAAGGGCCTTCTGGGATGGGTTAGTGGATGGACCTGGGCCTGGAGAACTGGGTTTGCCGTGAGGGGCTGTGGCCTGCGTGCCCTATGCCCTGGAGATCCGCCCCTCCCACCTGAGGTCAGTGGGGGCCAATGGTGGGGAAGGGGTAGGGGATGAGGGGGTGAGACTCCAGAAGGGGAGGGGAGGAAGACTGGAGGAGGGGAAAAGGCTCAGATTATGGGGGCTCCAAGATAAGAGGTGGTTATGGGGGGAGAGGGTACAGGGGGTGCTATACACACTGCCAATGCCCCAGGTCTGGGGGCCAAGCCAGGGAGGGAGGAGGCAGCATGGTGGCCTCAGCAGTTAGCATTAGGGTTAACCTGTCCTGCTGAGTGTCCCCAGAATGTAGAATTAGGGGTGGGGATGAGAGATGGATGGAGGGAAGGCAACCCACTATACCCTGCACTGTTCCCTGGGGTCTGCAGAGGGGGTTGCCAAAGGGTGGAGGGCGGCCATACACAGAAGCGATGGGAGGACTGGAAGGCAGGTGCCTGTGTCCAGGGTACCCATTGCATCAGTGGAACTGGGTGGCTTCTGAGCACACATCAAAGTCTGTGTCCCCACATGTCCGTCATGTTCAGGTATCTGTGCTCCTAGGTGCATCTGGGTGTGGCCGAGTGGGGGTGAGCATATCTGCCGTCGCTGTGTCCCTGCTGGGGTCAGGTGCCTGGGGCATCGGTGTCTTGTCTAGGGCATTGCCGTCAGGCAGGGCCTGGCACCTCGGCGAATGTGCACACGCACAGCTCAGGAAAGCGGAAGCTGGGGGCGGGGCCTGGGACCCCACCTTCGAGCCCACTGTGCGGAGGGGCAGGCTGAGGCTGAGGCTGGGGAGGGTCAGGGGCGGGTCTGAGTCACCGCCTCCGGAGGCCTTTTCCTGTGGGGGGAAGCGCCCGCCAATGAGGGCTGGGCCTGTCACGTGAGCCTGACAGCTGAGGAGGGGGTGGCCAGCGGCAATGTGCTCCCGAGGCTACCAACACCAGGAGCTGTGGTACTGAGACCCCCGGCCTACCTCCCCCAGCCTGCCCTCCTTGGGCTTCTCAGGCCGCTGGGTCCGGCCCCACCATGTTCTCCAGGAAGAAGAGAGAGCTCATGAAAACCCCGTCTATCTCGAAAAAGAACCGGGCGGGAAGCCCCTGCCCACAGCCCTTGGGGGTGAGTGAGCCTCTTAAGGGGAGCACGGAGCGGGCGGGGACCTTGGAGCGACAGCTGGGCAGCACGGGGACAGGAGGACACCCTGTGATCAGGCCCGGCAGGGCAGGGCCAGGCAGTGACATGCTGGGCCAGTGGCGGGGGGCACGAGCCAGCTACAGCCCCCACCAGGCTGGACTGCAGGGGCCTCGCAGGATGGGCTGGGATCCTTGCGTTCAGCTTACGGTAGGAGCCCTTGGGATGGCCATGAACTCTCCCACCCTACCCAGTGCTGGCTGTGGGGTCCAGGGAGTGGTGGGGTGGGTACCAGGGTGTGGGTGCATTGGGCCTGGACTCCGTCAGGTGGGGGCTCAGGAAATTTGGGGTCTCCAGGCGCCGTTAGATCTGAGAGCTATAGCCAGACTGTTAGGCAGAAGGTTTATAGGGAGCAGAGTGTGGAAGGAGACCCACGGGGGCAGGCCTGGTGCAAGCCTGGGGGCATCTACAGGGCCGGTGGTGTCTGTGGGCTCAGGAGTCTGCTGGACCATCAAAGGACAGGAACCGAGGAGGTGTCTACCAGTGAGTAGGCATCTGCAGTGGCCTCTACTGAGGCAGTTCAGGAGACCCCAGCCCTCCCTCCCCCACTCCCTCCCCTGCCTCCGGAAGTGGGGCGCCCCTCCCCCACCCAGGCTGTGGTTTGGGCAGAGACGTTGTTTGTGAAAGCTCCAGGAGAGGACGTTGGGTAACAGGTGTGGGAGGGGCAGGACACCAAATCTCAGCCCTCTGACCTGTGGCCTCTGACCCCTATGGGGTCAGGCTGAAGACCCTCCAGAGCCCCACTTCACTTCCAGGGAAACTGAGGCAGGGCCTGATAGGAGCACCTGCTTTACCAGCTCCCCCCACCCTCCCAGGAGCTGCCTAGGAGAGACGGGGCTGATGCAGTGTCCCTGGGGCCCGGCCTAGAACCACCAAGTGTGGCCTCGAATGCTAAGGCCACGGGCACTCTCAAGAGGCCCACCAGCCTGAGCCGCCATGCCAGCGCTGCTGGCTTCCCTCTGTCGGGGGCCAGCACTTGGACGCTGGGCCGCAGCCATCGCAGCCCACTGTCTGCGGCCAGCCCGGCTGAGGCACCCATCCAGGGACCCTGCCCAGACACCGTGGAGGACATCTCCCACCTGCTGGCTGACGTAGCCCGCTTTGCCGAGGGCCTTGAGAAACTGAAGGAGTGTGTTCTGCATGATGGTGAGAACTGGCAGGGACACCAAGGCCTGGGTGGAGGAAGGCAGGGTCAGACCTTAAAACCTAAGGGGTCAGCACAGGGTTGGGGAGGGACTTGGGGAGGCTCAGAAGGAAGTGGTTGGGAGGGCTTTGTGGAAAATGCAGCTAGGGTTCTGACAGATGAATAGGAGTTCAGTAGCAACTAGGAAGGAAAGGCATTGAGGTAGAGGGAATGTCATGTGCATAGAAACACAAAGTAGAGATGCATTTGGGGAATAAGGTTCAGGCGTATGAAATGTGTAAGGCTGAAGACATTGAGAATGGCAAGCAGAGGGACCCTGGATGTTATCCTGAGGGTGCTGGGGAGCCATAGAAGGTGTCAGAGCAGAGGTGGAACAAGGTCAGATCTGCATGTTGGACTGAAGTGAATGGGAGGCAGACTGAGGTCTGGACACAGAGACTCAGGAGGGACAAGGGGCAGGACCGGCACGTAAGCTGCGGGAGTGAGCGGGCTGTGGATGGCAGTTCCGTTTTCTCCACGCGTCCGCTGACAGCCCAGCTTCCTGCCGAGTTATTTTCATCTGCTTCCTGTTTGTCCCTGACAGCCAAGGAGGGCACTGTGATCTCTCCTGCCGGAAACCGCAGTGCCAGGGCCATGTTAAACACCCTGGTCTGCTCCTTTCAGGTACCCATTTTATGGATGAGGAAACTGAGGCTCAGGGTGGCCCCCTGACTCCAGCTCACCTGAGCCAGAGCCCAGGTTCAACCTCCACCTGGAGAGGGACCTCAGCTTTGCAGGCTGTAATGGGGAGCTTCCCTGCTGGCCAAGCCTCTGCTGGGGGGTGGTGGTGTCAGCCTGTGGGGTTATCTGGTCCTGGGGTGGAGCTGGACTTGTTTCCTGGGGAAACTCTCTAATCTCGGTTCCTTTCCGATCCTAGCGCTTCCTTGGAGGCCAGGCCTGGGCGGAGCTGAGCCTGTGGGGATTGTGCAGGAGGATGGCCAGGGCAGGGGCCCCCTTCTTTGCACCTTGGGGCAGCCCTGGTCAGAGGGAACAGCCTGGAGTAGAGAGGATTTGGGTTTGAATGCTGGTGCTGCCCCTGCCGGCCTGGGAGACCCTGGTATTTCATCTGTGAAATGGGGCAAGACACGCCCTGCAGGGATGCTGGCTGTGACCAGAGGTCCTCAGCCTACAATGATGGTTGGGGGATAGCCAGACGGCTTTCAGCCTGGGAGGCAGTGAGCGCAGGGATCCACGTGGGCGGGGTCTCCCTGCACCTCCCCACACCATGTACCTGGGCCTGTTTCCCTGTCTGCCCTTGGCAGCCCCATCCCCAATGGAATCACATCTACTCGGGTCTGAGTCCTGATCCTTTTGAGTTTGGGGAGCCGAGAACACCAGCCAGGGCTCGCGGGATTCCAGGGGGCGGAGCTTTCCTCGGCGGAGGCGGGGTCTTTGGACCGGCCAGAGCCGGTTTAGCTGATGAAGACGCTGTACCAAAGCCCATATTCCGTCGTGCGAGTTCACGGTCCCCGCGCTCTGACGGTACACCATGTGTATCTGCGGGACGGTGCACCCCGCGCAGGACCAGAGGCCTGTGCGCTGCCAGGCAGGGCCCCGAGGTGAGAGGATGGTGCGGGGTGTGGGATGCAGGCGCTGGTCAGGAGCACGTGGCGCTCTGGGCATTTGCCTGCCCACTGGGGACGCAGGGCTACCGGGCGCTTACCTTGGCCGGTGCAGAGCTGGGCATGTCTGGGCTTCGCCAGAATCCCATCTGCCCGGGTGGGGGTGCTGCGGGGACCCAGGTGGCCGAGGCCCAGGAGACACGAGGGGCGTTGTGCCTGGGAGGAATGTCTGGGGAAGGGGTGGAGCCGGCCTCCCTGGATTCCTGAAGCTCCTTCCGGCCTCCCGGAGTTCCCCGCTGATTCAGGTGCAAATCCTGAATCCGAGGAATGTTGGGGCCAAGGACTCCATAGGGGTCTCCCTATCGGTGGTATTCAGTGGGTCCTCAGTGCTGAAAAGGGATCAGACACCTATTTCCAGATTCCTTTTTTTTTTTTTGAGTATCACCTACCAGGCTGAGTCAGAAGCACACAGGTGGGGGAGGTCCAGGCAGGCCCCTCCTGGATGTCAGAAGGTCTGCTCATTCCTTCAGCAT